TTTCAGGTAGAATAAAATGTTTTCAGAGTAATAGCATAGTTTACTGGAGTTGTCAAGCTTTGGGAGAGGTTTTTTTGAGCGTTTAATTTCTTGGCTGATTTTTGACTATGCCTGCTAAGGACCCAATTATTCAAAGTGTTGAGCACTAGAGAGCTGCTGAGCAACCTTAACTTTCTTCTTTCAGGATTGAGCTCTGAGAGTTTTTCTCACTGCAGAAAGGTTGGTTCTTGTGTTGGAGATGCACTCAAAACAGAACAAAAATTTGAATTGATGTCATGCTAAGTTGCTGTCCCTGTGACTTGTGATTTGATGTCAGTATCATAGAATCACAGAATATCAGGGTTGGAAGGGACCCCAGGAGGTCATCTAGTCCAACCCCCTGCTCAAAGCAGGACCGATCCCCAATTAAAGCATCCCAGCCAGGGCTTTGTCAAGCCTGATGTTAAAAATATCTAAGGAAGGAGATTCCACCACCTCCCTAGGTAACGCATTCCAGTGCTTCACCACCCTCCTAGTGAAAAAGTTTTTCCTAATATGCAACCTAAATCTCCCCCACTGCAACTTGAGACCGTTACTCCTTGTTCTGTCATCTTCTACCACTGAGAACAGTCTAGAGCCATCCTCTTTGGAACCCCCTTTCAGGTAGTTGAAAGCAGCTATCAAATCCCCCCTCATTCTTCTCTTCCGTAGACTAAACATCCCCAGTTCCCTCAGCCTCTCCTCATAAGTCATGTGTTCCAGTCCCCTAATCATTTTTGCTGCCCTCTGCTGGACTCTTTCCAATTTTTCCACATCCTTCTTGTAGTATGGGGCCCAAAACTGGACACAGTACTCCAGATGAGGCCTCACCAGTGTCGAATAGAGGGGAAGGATCACGTCCCTCAATCTGCTGGCAATGTCCCTATGTATACATCCCAAAATGCCATTGGCCTTCTTGGCAACAAGGGCACGCTGTTGACTCATATCCAGCTTCTCGTCCACTGTAACCCCTAGATCCTTTTCTGCAGAACTGCTGCCGAGCCACTCGGTCCCTAGTCTGTAGCAGTGCATGGGATTCTTCCATCCTAAGTGCAGGACTCTGCACTTGTCCTTGTTGAACCTCATCAGATTTCTTTTGGCCCAGTCCTCTAATTTGTCTAGATCCCTCTGTATCCTATCCCTCCCCTCCAGCGTATCTACCTCTCCTCCCAGTTTAGTGTCATCTGCAAACTTGCTGAGGGTGCAGTCCGGGCCATCCTTCAGACCGTTAATGAAGATATTGAACAAAACTGGTCCCAGGACCAGCCTTGGAGCACTCCACTTGATACGGGCTGCTAACTAGATATGGAGCCATTAATCACTACCCGTTGAGCCCGACAATCTAGCCAGCTTCCTATCCACCTTATAGTCCATTCATCCAGCCCATACTACTTTAACTTGCTGGCAAGAATACTGTGGGAGACCGTGTCAAAAGCTTTGCTAAAGTCAAGGAACAACACGTCCACTGCTTTCCTTTCATCCACAGAACCAGTTATCTCGTCACAGAAGGCAATTAAGTGGAAGGCAATCAGTAGAATCCATCTGATTATAGCTAATTAATATACAAAACATCTTTTCATAGAGGTATCTTTTCTATTTTTCTGTCAGAAATTATATGTTATCTGTCAATTAATAGCAAAATAAACATATTAGGAAAATAGCTACTGTATGTGCATAGTATCTTAACTGTACATGTGCAACAACTTAGTATTTTAACATTCAATAAATAGGATAGCTTTTTAAATTTGAGACTAGAGATCATTTTTCTGTAAGGTCCATATTCTAGTTTATTTTTTAACTCGTGTTAGTCTCCTTAGTACAACTCAAAATTTGAAGGCAATTTCAGATTTTGCTGTATGGTAATTCAAACTGAGGAATCTGGTTAGTTGAATGGAATGATTTTTAGTGATCCTCAGGCTCAGGATAATAAATTGAACCTGCCTATAGTCAGCTGTAAAGCATCATCTATGCTGAAAATGAAACACTGTTTGAGAGCAGAATAGTTTTTTTTTAAGTGATATGACTGGCCTATGTGAAGATTTAAACTGATTTCTAACAGTTTGGCAAAGACTGGCCTTTCAAAGCAAATCTATTCAGCACAGTGCTTAGAATACTGAGTCCTTACATTTAGACTGTAAAGGTCCTTCAGGCTGGTATGTGTGGTTTTTAATTTTTCTGTAAAACACCATTCCCGCCTACAGAGCTATAGAAATAATAAATAATTTGGAGTATTGGGAGACCCACGTCCTCTGGCTAATGGGAACTCTGTAATGACTCTGAACTGCCTATTTTCAGCTCTCCCTGTGCCATATAAAATTTTTCTTCATCCCAAAAGTATGTACTTTGGCTTCAGCTAAACGTATGTTTTGTTGTTGTTGCAAGTGGTCAGCGCAGTGCTGTTAAAAACTGAAGTACTTACAAATTTTCCGTTTCGGTACACTGATCTCTCTTTTCAGAGTAGCAGCCGTGTTAGTAAATGAGCTGTAGCTCACGAAAGCTTATGCTCAAATAAATTGGTTAGTCTCTAAGGTGCCGCAAGTACTCCTTTTCTTTTTGATCTCTCTTTGGCTGAAAAGTTGTGTCATCCAAGATTAACTTGAACTTTCTCACCTCTGATAGCGTCTTCCTGAAAGCTGAATAGATAGAAATCACTCTGTGTAAAACGTTAGCATGCCTCCCATAGACAATACATACTTTTTCAGCTAAGTAGGTTACTTTTGAAAAATAGACGCTTGTAAAATTTTTGCACACTTAATTGTGCAATGCTGGATAGCATGTACTTCCTTACTGATTCATTGGATGACATAAGTGCTTCACATCTCTTTATTTACTTTGTGCATTCGAGAGTGATTTTCTGTTTAATCCGTTTCATTTTTTAATTACAGTCAGTTTCTCCTGTTCTTATTGTGACTCTCATGCAGCAACAGGAGAGAAAAACATTTTTAAAAATAAAAAAATGTGGTTGAAAACTACAGGAACTGCTGAGTACTTGGAGACTGGTGTCCTATCAGAAACTCCTTATTTTATTTTTTGCAGTTGAGTAAATTAGACAGTGTCCTGTTCACCAGTGATATTTGTCATATCTGAGTTGGCAAAAATACATAATATACATTTTTCCTTTGTAAGACTGTAGTTGATTTTCACCAGCTGTACCTTGTTTTCTTTTGTGTGCATTGTGTGACTCTAATAAACAAACTTGCATACTGCGTTTTTCAGTAATGCTGTTCTTTACCGTTGTAAGTAAATGTTATTTAAATTACTTCCGTTACCAATTTTGTCTCGTTTTAAAAATCTTTTTTAAATTTTCATGTACTGCAAAGCAACAGCTGCCGAGGAAAGAAAAATCACTGGGATTAAAACCCTGCCTTTCCTCCTGCACAGTAGCTGTTTTTGTTTTTGTTTGTTTTTTGCAAGCAGGGTAGTGTGAAATCGAGTAGCATGTCAATCTGGCTCCTCATCTGACTCTCACTGCTGCTGGTGCTATGGGGAAAACTACTGTGTAGGAGCATCAGCACCATGGTGATCTTAGCCAATGCTATAGGGGGTTTAGGTGGGGGTTTAAAAAAAAGTGGATGTATTGGAAGCAATGTACAGCTCTCACAGTCCCATTATTCTAAAGTGAAACCTCTATTTTGCTTGTATACTATAACAAATTTTAAAGAATCCTAATACCTTATTTTGAGGGGTACAGCTTCCAATCTCACTATATCATTAATCTTCCCAGTTTTCTCACTACAATACCATATTTTGCAACCTCCTTGAGGAGGAGTCTTCTTGACTTCAGAGTGACTCCTCACATAAGTAAGGATGGCAAGATCAGGCCCTGAGTCTTCATGTAAATTGACTTCTTGCCCTATGAGTATATGTCAAGCTGCAAGAGCTGTGGTTGATCGCAGTAGGGAAAAATCAATGACTCACATTTCCACAGAGAGAAATGTAGTTTCCAGTCTCATAGCAACTGTCCTTGCAACTGTTTCAACCCTTGTGTGACAAAATATTTAGCACTTACAGATCTTTTAATGTCTCATTCCAGTCCACCCCCTCACCCTAAATGTGTCTACATTTTACATTACACTAAATCTCCTGATTTATGGTTTTAACCTTAAAATTATGTCGATAATTAAATGTAAAAAGTGAAAATCTGAGAAGTTACCTTGACTTTATAATGAAAGGGTCTGGTTAATTTTATAGGGTCTTAAAATAATGACATCTTGGATCTGCTTATGTTTAATGTCTAAATACTAGCTATGCTGTTTACACTTAGGGAACAGCTGGATTTTAAATTCAAATTATTTAATTTTAACTGTTTTATGGTAATTATGGCTGGTGTCTTGGATAAACAGATGTTTAGAATCTGATATCTGTTAATTACTAATCTAGAGATGCAAACAAGTTAACTATTTAGAGCACACTGTTCTTTTAGTACATTAATACACATGCGTAGGGGTGATAACTTTAGTGTAGAAATTTTATAGGCAAATTTAACCCTTACCGACAACGGGTGCATCTGAACCAGTGCTGAAAATAGTTGAACTCCTAAAGTTGACAGAGTGAACCCATTTCAGAGTGTGTGATTGAGGATTTAGTGGGCTCTTGGACAGCACTCAGGGACAGGACTTTGGAGTGGTCTTCTTGGCTTTCACACTGATTCGCTCTGTGGGTTTGGGCAAGTTGCTAATGTGTTTGTGCTTCAGTGCCCCATTTCTAAAAAGGGGATAGTAACACTTAACTATGTCAAAGGCAGATCGTGAATCTGATTAAAGAACGTTTGAGTGCTTTGCTATCCTCTGATGAAAAGTGGTGTAGAAGTGCACAGTACTAATGTTAATTATGTCTGGGATTTTCATATAGGCATAAAGAAGTTAGGCACCCAAAGCCCGTTGAAAGTTGATGGAAGTTGGGCATCTAACGTCCTTTGAAAACCCCATCCTACGATTTTGAAAAGCATTGTTAATTGAATTAACCCCCTATTTTTCTTGTAGTTGATTATGGAAGAGGTGCACAAGAATACCGGTAACAGTGCAGCCACACCGCCACAAACAGCGTCCATACAAGGTACACCACTACAGGCAGCTCATCTCTCTCACATTGCTCAACAGGTAAACTTTTTGAACTAGTTAAGAGAATTTTTTTGTGTTCAAACTCTATTCTACAGTTTTATCAAACATTCAGGGAGAATAAGAACCTGGAAATAGGGTGGCAGAAGTGTACAGTTTGTTTTTTAATTGACCCCACAAAATTAATTTCTTGGCTTGGATTCAAAATATCTAAATGTATCTGATATTAGTACAGTGCAGCACATTTGGCTCTCATTCTTGTTAAATTTTAGATCCTTTGCAATATTCACTCAGCCTGACAAATGGGAGTAGCTGAGCACTTGCAGCTCTCTTTGACAGCAGTCGTTGACGCTCAGCATCTCTGAAACACTTTCTTTTAAGCCATTTGGAATTGAGTAAATGAGTTAATTTTACAAAATAAAACGTACGTTGGAGATTTTTCTGTGAACAAGCTCCAGTGAACTCTGCTAAAGAACACTTAATTTGGGGAAAAAAACCATACTGATGCTTTGGAAATGTTTGTTATCTTTGTTTTTGATGAAAAACATTTAATGAGGGAACCACATTTTTCAAGTTCAAAAGCGAATCGTTCAGGATGCAGCCACTTTAAGATTGTTGAATCTGCAAAATGAGTTTTCCTAGAGAATGTCTGCTCTCACTGTCCTTCTGTCCCTTTTCTGAGCTGTGCAAAATAATACTTTGGTAGATGATCCAGAGTTTGCCCCATGTAGGGAGTTCAGTTTTTAATGTAAAATTTAGCTACAGTTTCGTCATAATTGCTTGAAGCAATAACTGGATAGTGAAGGTGAACAAACATCCTGTTGTTTGATTACAGTCTAATTCTACAAAATATTTGTTTTCATTTGGCATGGGGTTGCCAAAAAAGTTAGTTTGTTTTGTGACACCAAAGTAAGTTTTGATTATGTAAGAACTTAGCTATTCGACTTTTATTAATATTTTTGTATATATAGGTTTTAATAATTCATCTTTTCTAAAATAAATATCTTCTATTCCAGATTAAGAGAAGTAGTGCAGAATTTAGGGGAGGAAACTGGTGATTTAACTTTGCACTTATTTGTACAGCTTTAGTAAATTTAAAAGTGCAAAGGCTCATTTGAGTTCAAAGTCATGAGTATAAACTTATCAGAATGTTAAAATTGTTGTATACGGAGATCACATTAACAGAAATTAGGTTCTGCTTATTCATCTTAGATTTAAGATAAAGCAATAACTGAGATTTTAATAATAAATATTGAAGACCAGATGTCTTAAGTCTTATATTGACAAAGGTCAGAAACCTTATTCTATAAAACTCTAAAATATATGCTGAATAATGCAATCAAATTGCCATAAAGAATGAGTGCTTGTTTGTCTCCTCGATGGTATCTTTAAATTCTAGCTACAGAGTTCTGTATAGTTCACCAGACCGCAAACTGAGCAGCACTGTGTTGTTTTCCTGGAATTTATCAGAGTGACAGCGATTGTTAGTGGAAGCCAGTTTCAACAACTTCTCTGACACCCTCCCTGTCCCACATGTATACATTGTTGGTGTAATTTTCAAGTCCTCTCTCTCTCCCCTCCATGTTACTGATGTTACTTAATCCTGCCAGATTTTCCAGTACACTCTCTCCAGAATCCATCACTTCTTCATGCTCATCAGTAAAATCCTAGCCATGCCTTGTTAGTCTCGCATCTTGATACAACAACACTCCTTTCTCTGACTTCTCACTTGTCTCCAGACCATAATTCAGCTGCAAAAATAATCTACTTTGCCTGACCATGCTCAGATCCTCCTTTCTTTTGCCTTCTGCATTGAATTCTATCTCCTCCTTGCTTTCCAGGCCCTGTAAAATTTGGCTCCTCTGCTGTTGTTTCTTTTTGCTCACCCTGAGGTGCCTGTCTAACTGTCCCACTATGTGTTGAATCCCTCCCTGAATTGGTCCAGCACGCCTCCATATTTACCTCCTTCAAAATACACTTCTAGTAGAAGGCCATTGAGCCATAGCCCTCCCCTGTTTACAAGAAAAAAACCCTCGAAATGCACACATTAATTCACCCATGCTATTGCATTATCTTATTGTTGTTGTTCTGGTCCATTCTGGCCCTCTGCTCAACTTTTATCTCACCCCTCTTGTTAATTTAATCTAATTTAAGGTCTGTTCTTGTGAAGTGCTGATTTTTCTGAACATCCGTGGATTTAAGTAGGAATTGAGGGTGCCCAGCATTTTATACAATCTGTCTTCTATTTGTCTAATTTAATACACCCATTACGATGGAATTAAAGCTTAAATAATAGGGCTTTGTCGTTATCTGTAAAGTGCCATGCACATATTATGGAGTTATACATATATAAGAAAATCATTCTCAGTGGAGGGCTCAGTGTTAATTTGGAAAAGTCTGCTTTACTACGTGAGGCATAACATTTTGTTACACATATTGCTAAAGCATTTGGCTTTCTCTCTAACCGAAGGCAAGTCAGTGACTGGTTTAGACTTTTTCATATGCAGCAGTGTATCAGAAAAACAGATTTAATTTTTAAAGACTTATTTTATGTCTCAACTTAAAACAAGCCTCTGTTAATGCCCATTCCCCACTAATTGTCATAGGCTTATCTGCATTTTCTAACTACATGGTACAAAGCATACATCTAATTTTGTTAATAAACTTTATATTTGTTTTAGATGTCTCTAAGAGGTCCTACTCCGTTGCCAGTTGTACAGCTTCCTGGAGAGCAAGTACAGGTCCAGGGAGTCATTCAGACAGCTCAGTCCTCTGTAATCCACTCACCCCAGGTGCAAACAGTGCAGGTAAAAAAAAAAAACAGTAGGTTTTTTTAACATACATGAAAAGACTTGTAAAGTCTTATCTGATTGATCTGAACCTACCACAGTGCAGCCTCGCTGGCACCATTAGTAAAGTGTCTGTGAATTTTTCTAATGTAGGGATGACATCTAGGAAGCCAATTTGTAAATCCAAGCCCGAAAAATTTTTATTTTTAGGTACATCATTTTTATTTAATCACTGTTTAGATATTTCATGTTTTATATTGCTCAGAGGTGCCCTTAGAGTTAAGATTGCATTTTAAAACCCTATCTTAGGGTGTTATAATTTATATATAAAGATTTGATTGGAGCTGAAACTTTACGTATATAAGATCTCTGTCCACAGGCTACTGTTTGTTTATTTATTTATTTTTATAAAAATGTTGGACTTCTCAGATACTTTTGTGTGCTCCTTATAATTTATAACGCTTCAAATTGATTAACGAAAATAATGTGTGAACTAGTTGCTTTTGATGTTTTGACAATTAGTGTATATGTAATTATTTGTTACATAGTTATATTCCTAGTTAGCAAAATATATATCCTGACATGTGGCTATGTTTTATAATTATATAATATAGATAGATAGATATAGGAGCCCCATATTGAGGTGTCCTGAAGTTTTTTAATTAATAAGAATAAAAATAGTGCAGTGGCAATAGATAGGTATGACAGAGACTAGATTTGGGGGAATACTGGCCAGATTACCAAGTTTATTTCCGAATCTTCACAGATTGCAGTGAGATCTTTAAATTGCACTACAGATAGACAGAAAGAACCTCTGGTTATTGTCTTTTTTGAAGAAAAGCACTGCTTACAGTTCATCATCCCATGTACTTTAATATCCAAATTAGAAATGAACCAAAACAATCCAGGGGTTAAGATGTGGGTCAAGTCAGCAGACGTGAGTGGTGGTTCTTCTTTGTTGAGTGCCAACAGTATATCTATGCTGCACAGAATATAACATAAGACCTAGTTCTGCCCTAAGGGACCCGGATCTGCTTGCTCACTCACTGATTTTGAACAAGTCATTTAATTGGTTTGTGCCTCAATTTCCCCATCTGCTTTTAACAAACACAGTAGGTTTGCGTAATGGAGAATTTAGCTATCTTCACAAAGCATTTTGGTGAACTTCATGGCCTTCTAGAGACAAAAGAAACATGAGCAACTTTCTCTAAATGTTGATAGCAAACCCCTCTTTGCTGCGACAGCTAACTAAAAAGTACTTTCCTCAGAGTTACACACGTTCCTGCTGACCTTATGTTGCTGGTACAGAGATAAGTACAAATAAAGGAGCTTTGTTTGCTTGTGTTTAATTGGGATCATCAGATTAAAAATTGACACCTGGCAACTGGAAAAGGCTACAAATGGAATAAAAAGAAAATTACAGATGATAACGTCATAAAATAAATACTGTTAAGTCCATTTGAGTAGTCTGTACAAATATTCTTGCCTATTTCTTCCATGATATGCTACTGCTTCTTTAAATGTGTTCATTGTCTTCAGTTGACTCTAATTATAAATACAGTACTCTGAGCAACCAAAATACAAAACTCCACACAGTCAATTTTTATTATTTGAAATTTCTTTTAAAACCCTCCTCCCTTCTTTTTCTTAAGTGGGGCTCCTTCTCCCATTCTCACCGTAACCATGTTTCTTTAAGTGAGGGTTGGTCACCCTTGTCCTCTGGTGTCCTATTCCTAAAACTCACTAGCTTGTGCCAGCATTGTAATATTCGTGCTCTGGTTGGTAGCGATAACTAAGGCTACGTTTTAGTCACAGCCTGTGACCTGTCTATGACTTTTATTAAAAATACCCATGTTTTTTATTAAAAATACCCAGGTGCCCTGAAGGAGCCATTCTGGCGGCACTGCAGGTGCTGGGGAGGTGGCTGGGCCGCAGTGTGCGGCCTGGGACCCCCACCGGCAGGGGGCCTGGGCCCGCGGCCTGGGACCACCGCTGGTGCTTTGGGGGAGGGTTGGCAGGGCTGGCAGGAGCTTCCTAACTGGCTCCACGTTCCTTCAGCTCCTAGGCACTAGCACCAGCTGTGCAGCTCCCATTGGATGGGAACCGCAGCCAATGGGAGCTGTGGGGGTGGGGCCTGCAGGCGCAGAGCCCCCTGCCCCCTCTGCTGCCTAGCAGTTGCAGGGCCATGCCAGTGGGAGCCGGGGATCCCCCCACCCTGAGGTAAGCATTCCCCCCCCCGGCACCTTCTGCCCCTAGCTATGAGCCCCCTCCCACACACCCAAACTGCTGCTGCTGGCCAGGGGCTGCCCGGCTCGGGCAGCCCCTGAGCCAGCACCAACCACTGCAGAAGTCACGGAGGTCATAGAAAGTCACGGAATCCATGACCTCCGTGACAGACTGACAGCCTTAGCAATAATGTATAAGCTTCCTCCAACACTGCTATGTGTGAAAGAAAGCATAGGATCAAATGAAGTAAAAATCTTCAGTGAACTTAATTGTAGCATAGAATCTCTATGGATAGTAATTCCATGCTCCAATAATAATATAGCAGTAGGGATATATTACCGACCACCTGACCAGGATGGTGATAGTGACTGAGGGAGATTAGAGAGGCTATGCAAATTAAAAACTCAATAATAATGGGGGATTTCAACTATCCCTGTATTGATTGGGTACATGTCACCTCAGGACGGGATGCAGAGATAAAGGGCTTAGCTACACTTGTGATTTAGAGCGCATTAAAGCAGCCCCGGGCGCCCTAGCTTGCTACCCGTCCACACTGGCAAGGCACGTAGAGCGCTCTGACTCCACGGCTAGAGTGCTCCTGGTACTCCACCTTGGCGAGAAAATTAACACTTTTTAAGAGCCTCCAGAAACATCCCATAATTCCCTTAAATCAAGTGGCCACTCTTCTTATGTTTTGAACTCCGCTGTAGGAATGCGGATATGCCCTTTGAAAGCTCCATTTCTGACAGCTGGCTTGCTTATCTGCTCTGAGACAAAGCAACCATTACTGTGGATTGCCGTGTGTGTGAGAGAGAGGCAGGGAGGAGCGGAGGTCTGCTGCTGTCTGAACTTACAAGACAGCATGCTGACATGCTCTCAGCCCCCCCAAAAACCCACTCTCATTCCCCCTACATACAAACAACACACTCCCTGTCACAGTCCACCCCCCCCATTTGAAAAGCACATTGCAGCCACTTGCATGCTGGGATTGCTACCACAATGCACTGCTCTCTGTGGCCGTTGCAAGAGCTGCTAATGTGGCCACGCCAGTGCGCTTGTAGCTGTCAGTGTGGATAGATTGCAGTGCTTTTCCTACTGCGCTCTACGAAGCCTGGTTTAAGTCAAAGCGCTCTACACATGCAAGTGTAGCCATGCCCAAAGTTTCTTGACACCTTAAATGCCTGCTTCTTGGAGTAGCTAGTTCTGGAACCCACAAGAGGAGAGGCAATTCTTGATTTAGTCCTAAGTGGAGCACAGCATCTGGTCCAAGAGGTGAATGTAGCTGGATTGCTTGGTAGTAGTGACCATAATATAATTAAATTTAACATCCCTGTGGCAGGGAAAACACCACAGCAGCCCAACAAGGTAGCATTTAATTTCAGAAAGGGGGACTACACAAAAATGAGGAAATTAGTTAAACAGAAATTAAGAGGTACAGTGCCAAAAGTGAAATCCCTGCAAGCTGCTTGGAAACTTTTTAAAGACACTGTAATAGAGGCTCAACTTAAATAAGCTTAGAGAACCAAAAAAGTGCTACTATGGCTAAACAACAAAGTAAAAGAAGCAGTGAGAGGCAAAATGGCAACCTTTAAAAAGTGGAAATTAAATCCCAGTGAGCAAAATAGAAAGGAGCATAAACTCTGGGAAATGAAGTGTAAAAATATAATTGGGAAGGCCAAAAAAATTTTTAAGAACTGCTAGCCAAAGACTAAAAGTAATAGCAAAACATTTTTTTAAGGGTATCAGAAGCAGGAAGCCTGCTAAACAACCAGTGGGGCCACTGGACGATCAAGATGCTTAAGGAGTACTCAAGGACATTAAGGCCATTGTGGAAAAACTAAATGAATTCTTTGCTTCGGTCTTCAAAGCTGAGGATGTGAGGGAGATTTCCCAGACCTCAGCCATTCTTTTTAGGTGACAAATCTGAGGACCTGTCCCAGATTGAGGTGCCATTAGAGGAGGTTTTGGAACAAATTGACAAAACTAAACAGTAATAAGTCACCAGGACCAGATAGTATTCACAGAAGAGTTCTGAAGGAACTCAAATATGAAATTGCAGAACTACTAACTGTGGGATGTAACCTAATGCTTAAATCATTGTCTGTACCAGTTGTCTGGAGGATATCTAATATAATGCCATTTTTAAAAAAGTTTCCAGAAGCAATCCTGGCAATTACAGGCCAGTAAGCATAACTTCAGTACCAGGTAAATTGGTTGAAACTAAAGTAAAGAACAAAATTATGAGACATATAGATGAACATAATTTGTTGGGGAAGAATCAACATGGTTTTTGTAAAGGGAAATCATGCCTCACCAATCTCCTAGAATTATTTGAGGGGGTCAACAAGCATGTGGTATAGGGGGATCCAGTAGATGTAGTGTACTTAGATTTTCAGAAAGCCTTTGACAAGGTCCCTCACCAAAGGCTCTTAAGCAAAGTTAGCCGTCATGGGATAAGAGGGAAGGTCCTCTCATGGATCGGTAACTGGTTAAAAGATAGGAAACAAAGGGTAGAAATAAATGGTCAGTTTTGAAAATGAAGAGAGGTAAATAGTGGTGTCTCCCAGGGGTCTGTACTGGGACTATTCAACATATTCATAAATGATCTGGAAAAAGGGGTAAACAGTGAGGTGGTAAAATTTGCAGATGATAAAAAACTACTCAAGATAGTTAAGTCCCAAGCAGACTGCAAAGAGCTACAAAGGAATCTCACAAAACCGGGTGACTGGGCAACAAAATGGCAGATGAAATTCAATGTTGATAAATGCAAAGTAATGCACATTGGAAAACACAATCCAATAATCCCATAATCCCCTAAATTAGCTGTTACTACTACTCAAGAAAGAGATATTGGAGTCATCATGGATAGTTCTCTGAAAACATCCACTCAATGTGCAGAGGCAGTCAAAAAAGCGAATAGAATGTTGAGAATCATTAAGAAAGGGATAGATAATAGGACAGAAAATATCATATTGCCTCTGTATAAATCCATGGTACGCCCACATCTTGAATGCTGCGTGCAGATGTGGTCGCCCCATCTCAAAACAGAAATATTGAAATTGGAAAAGATTCAGAAAAGGGCAACAAAAATGATAAGGGGTATGGAACGGCTTCCATGTGAGGAGAAGTTAATAAGACTGGGATTTTTCAGCTTGGAAAAGAAATGATTAAGGGGGAGATATATGACACTCTTCATGTTGCTTCTGAACTTGAGTTCCAGGAGTCAGACCTAACATTATAGTATTTTTATGAAAGCCTTAAGCATTTTTACATGGTTGACAGTGCTGTTAGTAGCTTCCTGGGTTGATTGGTTCTACAGCATAGAACAGTTTGCGTGAAGTAATTGAAAGTTTTCAGATATTAATGTTATAAACCTTTTCCTGGGATATATTGATGTAAGGAACTAATAAAGGTGCATCCTTGTGTGGATGACTATAAACTGGTTTGCAGTAGTGAGTTCACATTTGCTTTCTCATGCTGGAGTAAGGATTACATAAGAACAGAAGGGTAGCCATATGGATCAGGCCAGTGGTTCATCTAGCCCAGTATCCTGTCTCTGACAGCGGCCAGTATTAGAGCTTTAGGAAGAGTGTACAGAATAGGGCAGTTTTGCAGTGATCCATCCCTGTCTTCTGGCAGTCAAAGGGTTACGGTCGACCCTACCATGGGATTGCATCCCTGACCATCTTGGTTAATAGTCATTGATAGACCTATCCTCCATTAATTTTTTTTTAAATATATTTTATCTATTTTGCAACTTATGTATAAAGCAGGCAATCAATCGGGTATCGAAGATTGATGCTTAGCATTAAAAAGGCTTGCACTGATGTGCTTGTCACCTTGAGCTGTTGTATAATCTAGTTCACCCAGCTCACTTGCTCTGTGCACGGATAGAGACAGAGAATATATAAAGATGCATATTTGACATTTTATTGTTGCTTTCTTGAGGCTTATAGCAGTGAAATTTCAGAGTAACAGCCGTGTTAGTCTGTATTCGCAAAAAGAAAAGGAATACTTGTGGCACCTTAGAGACTAACCAATTTATTAGCTTATGCTCAAATAAATTGGTTAGTCTCTAAGGTTCCACAAGTACTCCTTTTCTTTTAGCAGTGAAATTATATCTCAGGAAAATTCATGGCAAAGGAGTTTATACATAGACTATTCTGATGTCTGTTTGTTCAATAGACTTCACAAAACTTTTTCCATAAATAAAAGAATGCCTGCTATCATGGAGACTCCAGAGAATTACTTGATTTTGCTTTTTCTGCCTGTCTCTTGCACAGTCTTCAGTAGAGACAGAACCAAGCCACAAATTTCCAGTGTTGATTTTGAACATCCCAGAGTTTGGGGGAGTTCAGATCAGGGAGTTTGGTTCATGTCCATCTTTAGTTTTTAAAGTAATTGTATTCTGGCTTCTGTTAAATGTCTTCTTAGTTTGTGCTCCTTAACTGTGGCAGTCTCTAAGAATTGCTCATCTTGTTGTAAAGATGTTTGGTAGAGAAATGTGAACTGTCTTGGGTACTTTTGTAGTGTACAGCACAGTGACATGGGATATGCTTTTTAGGTATCTTCTTTGTCAGAGAGTGAGGATTCTCAGGATTCATCAGATAGCATAGGTTCTTCGCAGAAGACCCGCGGTATCTTAGCACGGCGACCGTCTTACCGGTGAGTATCTTTGTGACATTCCCCAGGGTACAATCTGGACTTCCAAACAGCTGTTTCCCCGTAACTCTGTAGCCCGGGATGCCTCGTGCACTGCTTTGCTGGTGAACAACCACCTCAGGTTCTGCTCACACGCAGCCTCCTGCATGTAACTTGCTCCCAGCTACACAGTATTGAGTGCTATTAGCTAGCCACTCATAAATTACTTACAGGGAGACACCTGCATTTCCCCAGTCCCAGCCTTGTTCCTCAGAAACGTGTGTCTTACACTGCTCAGTATTCTCCTGGACAGTGTAAACTCATAGTACATCTGTCATTCCAACACTGGGTAATGATTATGCACCAGCCTTGTTGTCCTAAGTAGAGATTCCCAAACACTTCAATCCAAACACGCTTGTTTAGATAAAACAATAAAACAAGTCTATTAAATAGGGAAAGATACATGTTAAGAGATTTCAAGTGGTAAGTCATAAAAGTCAGAATTGATTACAAAAGAAATAAAAAGATAAAACTGCAAGCAAACACCTAAATGAAGAGAGGGGTGATGTGGAGGTCATTGGCTCTTATTTTTATACCCTCCTCCTTTCTTTGAGGATTACCTCCCTTCCCGGGTTTAGACAAACAGTCCCCTGTGTATGTGAGATTCGAACCATCTCTGGGATGAAATGTAAATGTCTTGTTTATAGCTTCTCCCCTGCTGCTGGATGTCCAATTAAGCTGGTAATGGCCCTTTAGCACCTTGCTGCCATGATAGTGTCTCTGTCTCGGAGAAATTGGTTTGTGGGTATTACCTAGAACTATAACATATTTCAGTAACAATCATTTAGCAAAATCTCAAAATTGTACATGCAGTGATGTTACACACATTTCAACAGGATAATATTCAGCAGGTTGAGTTTTCAGATGATACCCCACAAGGCATACTTTGTTCAAAATATATCATAATCATATAAAAGTGGTGAACTTGGGGTACAGGGTGTCTCAACCTTACAGAAATTTATACTATATTTTTTATTAGAAACTTTTAAAAACACTAACAAAAATCACAGCTTCCATCAGTTATCTCTACATATTTCATCAGCCTTCTGAATTATTTTTTTATTCCCCTAAAATATGTATTGGATCTGCTTATACAAAAGTTATTTCTGCTTTTGGTGATACACAATAAACTGAATTAACTATTTAGATTTTATTTTTCCATAGTGAAGAATTTTAAGTGAAAGCTAATAGCAAAACTAATGTTTTCTAACAGACTGGGCTAAATTCACTGCTGGTGTAAGAGAGTGATTATTTTTTATACATAGAACATCTCTATGTGTTTGCTGTTGAAGCATAGATGTTTAGTGAGTTTAATTCTGTTGTGTGGAATCAGCTAAAGACCTGATTTTTGAAGCCAGTGTTCAACCAAAGCTCTCATTGACTATAAAGGGAGTTTTGCTTAAATAAGGACTGCAGGATCAGACTCCAGGATGATGATATATAGTGAAAAGTTGTTTTATCACTTTAACCATACTAGTTGTTGCCATTTTATTGAAAAGAGGAACTGAGTAAAACACTGTTATGTTTTCAAATGACATACAGTATAATTCCAGTTATCCAAAAATTCTAGTTATCCAATTCCACAGTGTAGCCCTATTTTAGTTAATAGCACTTCCTTTTATCTGAATGCTTGGTTATTTCCAAGGTTCTGATGTTCCCTAGGTCATCTGGCTAAATGGGAGTGTTCTGTACTTTTCAAAGTGATACACCAAGAAATAAAAACATAATGCATCTTAAACTTTTATAGTTTTTACATGGATATTCTGAAAAAATTACAAATTAAAGCTTGCGAAGTTACCCCAAGGTCCCAAGGAGGGGCAGTTATTCATACCTCCACCGGTGCTTCTCATTTTTTATTTTTTTACCCCCATTCTCTCTTCTATTTTCCTCTTAAATTAAATACCAAAATAAACTGTTTACATTAAACTATTTTTTTTTCAGTTCCGCACACAAAAAAGTCAGAGTGAAAAAAGAATGGTCAACAATTCTCACTTGAACACTTTATGGGAAAATACTAGGTGTGCACATAATTTAGGCGGAAGCGATACATAGCAGTGAGAGCATGGGATTGGAAGTCAAGAATTCTGCTTTCCTGTTGGACGGCCGCTAACTCGTTATGTGACCTTGGAGAAGATGTATAAACTCTCTGTGCCTCCATTTCTTCTTCTGTTAAATGGGGAGCTTTTATTCTCATAGGGTATTGTGAGCTATATAGTGCACTAGGCGTTTGAAGAGCTGTACAAGAGTTAAGTATTTTTATTAAAAAGTTTTGAGATCCTTCGATGAAATGCACTATATAAGTGAAAAGTATTATTTTGTATCACAGAGCAAAAAACCTTAATGAATAAAAAAAAATTCCTAAAGCATCCCACTTGTTTCCATTTTATTCTAACAACAACAAAAATTGACAAATTGATTTTGATTAGAGTTAGAGAGAGACATAAATCCACAGTTATTGTGAGAATCAGAGCATGAGGTTTTAAACTAGGAAGAACACTAACAGGCAAGTTATAAACCCCTGGAAAATGTTTATGGTGGAAACTCTGATGCACTCATTACTGAAGTGATGCAGCTGTACTTGCTAGAAACAATACAGAAAATCTGACCTATGCACAAGTGCGTTTTATTTTGTCAAGCTGATTGGAAAGAAAAAAATTGCTTGAACCATTTTAAAACATCTATGTATGGGTTTCCAGCACAATGTTTTACTACCGGTTATTACAATGTATTGTAAGTTATGAAAATTGTCACTACAGAGGGCTTATTTCTAAAACATTTAAGGTTTTTAGAAGACAGTGATTGAAAATCTTACATTGCACTTGCATATACAAGTGGTTTAATACTGGTAGCTGCACTGAATCACTCTTTGTAAGTAAAGTGGTTCAGATTTTTGAATGAGGAACAAGAAATAAGAAACTTGACTACAGAAATACGATTACTTGAAGTTTAGAGAAGGGAATTCCTTTATGCAATTTTTATTTCAAACTTTGCCTGCTTATTTACAGTCTTTATTACAAAAGTGTGATAGTTCTATTGATAATATATTTTATATTTTGTTTACTATATCTGCTAAGAATTATTGAGAACATCTGTTTAGTAGATATTGGCTTCTCTTAAAGTAAGCATCAGGATTTCTTGACCCTAGAATAATATTGACTGAAGTGAAGCCAATAATTACCCTGAAACACAACAAATTTTGATATTTATTTAAATATTAAGTCAATATGTGTTTGGTTAAATATAGTCATCAAAATGCCTAGAAATCTCTTAATTAAGGGCATGAATTTTTTAAAAAGTTAAACAAGCAGAAAAGTAGCTATTAATGCGTGATAATTCAGTCAGGAAGCAGAGATGGGTACATGCTTTCTGATTGGCTCTTCCAGAGTAAACAATAGTAGTTTTGACCGAACACAGCTGCAGCCAGTAAAGATGTACATATTTGGGTCACACTTAATATTAAGGTTCCATTTATAAAGGGTTAATAAATTATTAATAGATATTATAAGCTTGTTACAGACATGAGTGTTCTAGATGGTTATAAGTAACCTGTTGATCTGTCAGACTCTATAGCAATCTATAACAATTGATTAGCCATTAAAAAAAATCTTAATTTATTAATCTTTTATAAGATATTATAAATGGAACCTAATGTGACCCCTATTTGCATATGCAGTCTAATTGGTTAACATGGATCCAAACTTCAGGATTGTTGACCTCCGAGGAGGTCATGTTATGTAAATATAAACGCAAATTACCTCTGAGGAGGTAACAGTACAAATTTACTGACTTGTGACATGACTTTTTTTTCAGCCAACCACAAGCTAGGATTTATCTTTTGTATGTAACAATGTGTGTAATGCTATTAAAGGTTATCAGCTATGTGTGTTAGCAGCATGTTTCTGTAACTATGTTGGTTTTAGGTGCTCTATCTCTGTTACATTTGTAGTTTGATTAATTTAAAAATTGTCACCTGTGGAAAAGTATTTACCAGCAAAACTTGCCTGCAACATTGTTAAAATTTGTACTCAAAGGAGTAATTGCCAACCAGATTGCCATCTTTTTCTTTCACAAGTGCTAATGAAGAAATTTTTTTTCCATAGAAAAATCTTGAAAGATCTTTCGTCCGAAGACGCACGAGATAGAAAAGGAGATGATGAAAGTCCTGGTGTCTCTACTGTCACCTCTATGTCTGTTCCCACACCTATCTACCAGACCAGCAGTGGACAGTACAGTATGTTATATTAAATACACACCCAACTAGACATATTTCTGTTACACAAAACTATTTGGGGGAAAGTTTATATTGTATCTCATATATTTGACATGAAGATGAGCTTGTGGAAGGATTGGCAGTACAAATGATAGCTATTCCAGTTATCATTATTTGTTGGAATTATAGTAGTGGCTAGTTGCCCATGGTGAGATCAAGGCTCCATCGTACTAGGTGTTGTACATCCACGTAGTAAGAGACAGACCATCCTTGTCCCAAAGAGCTTACCATATAAGTAGAATCAAAGAGTGGGAATAAGGTAGTAATATCCCTATTTTATGGATGGGGACGTGAGGCAGAGAGAGCTGAAGTGACTTGCCCTATGTCACATAGGAAGCTGATGGAAGAGCCAGGAATTTCACCCAGATTTCTTGACTCTCAGTTCAGTGCCTTAATCACAAGACCAACTTTCCTCTCCGATTAATTTCTTCCTTTCTAATATAACTTATTAAACTTTTTTAGTAATTGTCATGATTAATTGTTTGCTGTAGTGCTTTTCCTATAAGATCTGGAACTTGCATCCCTTTCAACTTGGTTCTCCTCCATGGTGCTTAGGTGTTTTCCTTATGCCCTCATCCTTGCAAATGGCACACCTTATTGGAAAGGACTCCTTTAGTCTGTGCTCTTCTGACTGAGAACTCAAAGTGGGTTGCAGCTCCAGACAGCCTTTCCTTCTTCTTGAAGGTATTCTCTCTGCCATGATATGCATGAAATGCCCCAAAACAATAGTCCAAGACTACAACTGATCTAATTAAAACAAGATTAAGTATAGCAAAAGTAAATAATATTTAAACAAAAGAAACAGTATACATAACATAGCTGTCGTGAAACTGCAAAAAGATTAGCTAGGCTTACCTTAACTTTAGCCATTAGCTGTAATAACAGAAGATACCTCCTCCTTCTAGAAAGACATTGTTCCTCACTGACCACCTTGGTCAGATTGCATCCAGGAGAGACACCCTCCCCTGTCTGTGTCCCAGGAACTCCCCTTCTTGCAAGGCCTTGGTCATTTTTACCCTGTGATTACTTTAATCTCAAAGGTGGGAGATTATAGTATCAGGGTGGGAAGTTACATCAGCATTTCAACAAAGTATTATTTGATCAGCTTGGGGAAATAAATTAGTTGTTCCATACGATTGTTGTCCTCTGTTCCTGCTGTCATTCCCCCTTCTAGTTCTGGAAGGATCCTTTAACTTCCTTGCTCTAAATCTAACATTTCAAAGGCCATGTTGATCTTGTCTACCCATTAGCCAGCCTAACAAGTCAAAATGATTGAACATGCTTTGCATGGCAGCTACTCCCAGCTAGAGATGTTAGAATGTGTCTGTATTCTTTTGTTGTTGGCCTTTTAACGTAACAATTCCCCATGTCTGTGCACCTACTGTGTATGAAGTGTAAACTGTTGGCAGAGACCAAATGATCTGCCCTATTACCCCAAACTTTGAACATATTTACTTGCCAACTAAATCTAGGATTACTAAAAGTAAGCATGCTGTTTTAAATTGAGTCCGATTCAAAACGTTTGCAAGTTAAAAATGAATTGAAATTCTGTAGTTAAAAAAAACAAAATATATTTTTCCCCTTTCTTTTTATATTGCATGCGATAAGCATGCAGTAGTTCCAGTGCAGTGTGACTGACATGGCTAGTTTCGATCTTCAGTTCATTGTCAAAGTACATGCTTCACTTCAAAAACGTATTTTGCTCCAGGGTAACAGTAGTCTAGGGGCAACTTATCCATTAAATGATTAAAACAGTAAAATGTCATATAAATCATAAATAAAGACATTTCTTTATAGTCTTGGATAATTTCTTTAATCAAATAAGGCTTGAATTTCCCCTTAAATGACATTGTAGAATTATAAATTTGTTTATTTATCCTGGAGAAAATTAATTAATACTTAATTCTTGGAAAATATCTACTGGAAAATTTCAAGTAGTTTAGAATGTAAACAATTTGGGTAAATTAGTAAACTACATGGGGATTTAATATTTCATCTTGTTGTGATATCTATGTTAAAAATAGGAGAAGCTTTGTATGCAAGATTTTCAAAAGTGCAGAAGAGTTCAGCTCCCATGTAAGCATTTAAATAAAGTGGCCTGATTTTCAAATGTGATCAGCACCCAGCAGCTTCCATTAAGAAAAAGACACTTCTCCTCCCATTAAGAATAACAGGAGTTGCTGGTTGCTGGTTTTTTGGTTTTAATCAGGCCCCTGTGGTTTTTTAGGGGCTAAATGAAAATATAGGCAAATATGGAAATTTTCTGCATTTATTTTTAATTACAAAAATGTCCACATATAATAGTTACAACATATGTTGCTTCTACCACCAACCTCTCCCATAACCACTGTGTCACTCACCACTGATGTCACAATCTCACCACTTGACAATGTCACAATCTAGTCCGTCAACAGTGAGCTGTTCAGGCAGTCGCAGAGGGTGGGGAGGAGTGAAGGGAGCACTATTTCTACCAATAGTGAATTTTTCATGGGTGCAAGCCAGTCTATGTAAATGCATAAATATATATGCAAATAAGCCTCAGCCTTTTGGCTTGGCGTGCCAATGCAGCCTATAACTGGCATGGCTAGTTTAGTCTGTATTTTCCTATATTGCAGTGAAACTGAAAGTGTCAAATTTGGTCCAAAATTTAAAATGTGCATAAGCAAGGTTTTATAAAACCTGAGGCGAGTAGACATTTCCATGGCGTTGTGGGGGAGGAAGTGTAAAGCAATTTGTTAAACATTAAGTATTCCCTGAATGTTTGCAACCCAAACACTGCAACTTTGCACTTTTGCATGAGCCTGAAAGTGACCAGAAGCTGATGAGTCTCTTTTCAGTCTTCAAGCTGTGTGAAATGCAAAACAGTAAACAAACCGCCCAAATCCTGGAAAATAAATTAGGTTGTTTACACTTTAATAGCCTACTGGATGTTAGTATCATATGTAAGGACATTTTGTTGTAAATATTTGGTTTTAACCCAACAGTGTCTCTGACTGCCCCATGACTGTCAAATCAGTCTTTAAAGATGGAACAAAATTGGCCTTCAAATCTTGGGGCTAATTTTTAAAGTACCAACTTAAGATAGGAGATTGCCTATTGGAAGTGAATGTACTCAGTACACAGAAGGAAAACCTTTTCTGTATATCTACCCTATTTTTTCTCTCTCTTTCATTGAAGTTACTATTGCCCCAAACGGAGCACTGCAGCTGGCCAGTTCAGGTACAGATGGTGTGCAGGGTCTGCAGACATTGACAATGACAAATGCTGGTGGCACTCAGCCTGGGACAACAATACTGCAGTATGCACAGACATCTGATGGTCAGCAGATACTTGTGCCCAGCAACCAGGTGGTAGTGCAGAGTGAGTATGTATTACAAAAAACTTTTGGAATACTGTCTCCCGTAAACGTGTAGCTTTCTAAGATTTTTTTTCCTTTTAATTTAACTTATTCTGCTGTCTTAACAGCTGCATCAGGAGACATGCAGACATATCAGATCCGCACCACGCCAACAACCACTTCTCTCCCACAGACTGTAGTGATGACATCTCCTGTCACCCTTACATCTCAGACAACCAAGACAGATGATCCACAGTTGAAACGAGAAATAAGGCTTATGAAGAACAGGTATGTAAGTTTCCATGTACTGTTATGTAACCAACTTCATAGCTGCAATCAGATTCTTAAACAGCATGCTAAATTATAACTTCAGATGGCAAATACATTAAAGGTATAGTCACCTTTGAAAATCACAATTCTGTCTGAAAATGATTTTTACCTGCTATAGCTGAGTAACATTTACGACTACTATACTATGAAAGACTAGAAGCTTCCTCTCTTTTCACTTAATTTTGTGTCATTAACAATGTAGTGTTGTTATAGCCATGTCAGTCCCAGAATATTAGAGACAAGTAACTGAGAAGAGCTCTGTGTAGCTCAAAAGCTTGTCTCTCTCACCAACAGAAGATGGTCCAATAAAAGATTCACCCACCTTGTCTCTCTAATGTTTTTCTTGGTTTTAGGTTGACAGTATTCCTTGATCTTTAGCGAAAACTAGAATTATGTATCCAAAATTCTGAATCCTACATAAATTTAGTAATTGTGTCACCTATGTATTATTTATCCTACACCCAGTGTCACTAGAAAATGTCAGAAAGCTAGACCCAAACATACTAAAGATTTTGTCCCAGAAAAATTGGGGGAAAACGTGAACTTTTTTTCCTGTAAGCTAACCAGTTTTTGCTTAACCAAATATTTAACACATTCCTTGAACTGCCCTGTAGTTTTTCAGTTTGCTCTGCTAATGCCCGTAAGTAAACAAAACCTCCTCTTTATGAGTACCCTAACCTTAATTTTGTTAAATATTCAGTTCAGACTACTCTTGTGTGTATATAGAGGATGTCTCATTTTAATTTTCTTTCTGCATATATAGTGACATATGTTTTCTTTCAATCTACTTGCTCTAGAGCAAAACTTCCAGTGCCATCTGCGTGCATTATCTAGGGTAGTACATGTCATTTAATTCTTGAGAAACATGAGACCCAGAACTTTCTGGAAACCAATGATTTTTGACCCCAGGGTTGCATTTTTGGTTTCTCATAGAGCCAGCTTTGTAAAGTTTCTGATGCTCATAGTGAAAAGGCCATTAACTTTAGAAAAACAAAATGTTTATGGTTTTTTGCTTTGTTTTGATCATTTTCTTTGATCAGTCAATGCTTTCATGTGAGGTGAACAGAAAAATTAGTTTTCTGTAAAGATCTTCTTCTCCCCAGGTGTGAATGGTAGCTTCAGATGGAGTCAGTATTCAAAGCAAAACATGAGTGACTGAACACCTAATGATATACAGTAATTGACAACTTCTGCCTTTTGATTTCAGGGAAGCTGCTCGAGAATGCCGTAGAAAGAAGAAAGAATATGTTAAATGTCTGGAAAATCGAGTTGCGGTCCTGGAAAATCAAAACAAAACTCTAATTGAAGAGCTAAAAACTTTGAAAGATCTTTACTGCCATAAAAATGTGTAAGAAAAGGAGGCACAACTTTTTGTGGACTGTCTAAATTTCCATGGGGAATTTTTTATACCGAATTTTTTAAAATTAAATGAAAGGTCAAAAATGAAACTTTTCTACCTAGATTTCACAACTTAAAGACTATAAAGATTTTATTTACAACATGTTAGTGACAAACTACAAAAAGGAAACAAGAAAACCTCAACAAAACTCCTGCTGGCAGAACTGGAAACATCATTAAAATCAAGGTTACATCGGCAATAAAAGGACATGTACATTTTATCTGACAAGTAATTTGAATTTCCTGAACTACAAATTAATTTGGTAACAACAGTAATATTTGATTACAGTTAAAATGTGGATAAGATGGAATCCTTGCCATTAGTTGAAAATTATTAGCAACATATATAACCAGTATAGGTTTTAATTTCTTACTGTTTTATGATCCTTATCTTTTCTTTCCGTTGTTTGTATGTAAATATTTTTATTTCAACCTGTAAATTCTAACTTTCAGGTGTAGAAGATAAAGAGAAGCTAATACTTTGCTAAAAGTATAAATTATGTTTACTTTTCTCAGCTGGCAATCTGTTTAAAGGTGGGGTTTTTTTTGTTCTGTTTTGTTTTTTTTGTAAAATGTTTGTTGTGTTTGTTAAAGTTGGAGAGGTTTTGCAGAAGGCAATGGGAAAATTATTTTTCAGGCCTAACCCTGAAAGATGTCGAAGGCACATGAATAAGATGTTGACTTCTTACGAGTATTCAATACATTTAATTACTTTAAACCAACAGTTTGGCAGAATGGGTATAGCTGAACAAAAGTTGTCAAGAGAATGCTTTTTTTAAATAGTTTTGTTCTTGGTTACTGGGTGTGATAACCTATAATTGAAAAATAAATTGTGTGTTGATTATATATACAACTGAACATGCATTGCTTATTCTGTTTGGAGATCATATTATGCTTAATTAAAAAGTTTACAGACCAAAAAAAAGAACAGTAAAATAAAAAGCTAAAGATACATACCAAAGGGTTTAATATGGTTCTAATATAGGGTTTATAAATTAAAAAAATAAAAGTGCACAATTACCAGACTGATTTTGTAAGGCAGGCAATATTTTGTGAAGTAATGGCATCTTTGTAAGAAAATGCTCTATTGAAAATAGTTAACGGCTGGTATATTTTTATAAGTAAACTATTACCTTTACAAATTCTAAAATGGAGTTTATATGCATATTTTAACAGTTTATACAGTTCCTTTTAGTAAACAAATAGATATTTTGTGTCTCAGATTATTGATTATATATTTTTATGGGTTAGCACAAAGTAAAATTAGATTCTCTTTGGAGTAGAAAATATTTGAATTACTTTTGTCTTTGTAAGCAACTGACCTGAAAAATAAACCCTAATGAATATTGTTGGGAAAAAGAAACAGATTAGCATTTTTTTTCCATATTCAGTAAAAACTGCACGTGCTTGAACTTACTGCAAAAATACTGTTGGGGATCCTAGTATGTATCGTTTTGACCTGTTTCTTTCCAGTAAAAGTTAAAGGATGTTTGACATGATCAGGACTCTTGAATATAAATAAAATATTGTGTAGACAATGGTTATTGCATGAACAGTGAATATGTTATTTTCTGTAGTTAGGATTGGATACTGCTTCCATTATTTCAATGAGAATTGTGCCATGATCTGTGTTACTAAAATGTGGTAAGGCCACCAGTGAGTTGTACTAGCTCAGTCCTGAATGAAATTTAAAAATGTATTTGCTCCCCTTGTATGTTGTTTATATAAGGTCTATCAACATTTATTTTATTAATTAGTCTACTATATATATTGAGCTTCCTACTGAGCAGACTCTGAATTCCACAACTGAGTTGTTAGTGGGTTAGATAAATATTTTGTATTTGCAAAGTTTAATATAACATATGTGGCTATTATGGGATATTGTTTGCTTTATAGTTGCTTTAAATAGAACTGAAATATACATTAGAATTCCTACTCGTGTCAAAAAATCTTTATGAAATGTTTCAAATGCATTTATTGCCCAGCACTAGAAAAACTTGCATGCTTGCCACTCAACCCTGCTTGGGTAAAGACGACATCCTAGGAGGTTCTGAGTGCCTCAGAACTTCCATTAAGGTCAGTGGGAATTCAGGATAATAAGCACCTCAGTAGCACTGGACTCGGTCAAACTCTGCCACTGAATATGTATGCACTATTCTCAATAACTTCAAAGGGAGACAGACTTGGGTCTGCAGGCAGAATCGGACCATCAATATTGAAGCTTTACGCAATGGCTTTCCTGTAAATGAAACTAACTTGAAATTCTTCTTTGTGGTATTTTGCTTCCAACTTTGTGCCATTGCTGTTCTTTTTAAAATTTCTTTTTTTGTGATAAAGGATTTTTTTTTTAAATGAAAGAACTGGCAAGTATCATTACAGTACAAAAAATGGTTGCTGATTCCTGCTCTGTTCTGCAGCTGAATGACTTTTATTACTGCCAGAGAGAAAAAATCCGTCAGTTTTACTCTATTGATGCAGTAGTGTTTGGAAAGAAGCAGCAAAGGTATATTCTTTATCGTGGAAGTATGAAGTGGTCACATTGGTTTGTTCCTTGAGTGATTACTTTTCAGGAGGAAGTTATTTTGGAAAGGGTGTAACATTGAATACTATTGGTCTAGTTACCTCCAGAGCTACATATTTCATATGAATTGTAAAGACTTGTTGAAATAAATAGGTGCTTGCAACTCTTGACCTCAATAATAAAGACCCCAAAATACAATTCTAATGTTCCTCATTTATTGAATCACAACTTATTTAGTTAAAGGGCTGCTTTTGAGTAACTTTGGTCCAAAATTTAATCACTCTTAAAATCACGATGTAGAGTTTCTTCTATGGTCCAGCTTTTTTTTTTTATATATAACAAACCTCAACAGCTACCTGAAACTAGAAAATACTGTACACTCTGCTCCAGAAGAGGGAGCACAAGTTAACTGTAACAATCCCCTTCTATCTGTAAACACTCAACCTACTGTTGTTAAAAATCAACACCTACAAGTACTGTAATTGAAAGAGATTGAGAAAAAAGAAATGATTTTTTTCTGTTTACTTTTTGCATAGTTCCTGTGACACATACTGCAATCCTGTGCAGTATCTTTGGGGACCACTGTATTGAATTTATGAATGGTTTTGTCTTATTGTGTTCTGCTCTATCGGGGAGGGTTATCACAGCTCCTCCAGGAACTAAAAACAGTGGAGGGTAATTACCCTGGGGATTGTAAACCACACCAGAGAACCACCAGCCCATGGGATGTTCGGATATACTGCTTAAAACTGGGTTTTCCAGAGAGATACTCAAAGAAATGGCTTTTGTATAAAAAGCTGAGCTTGAACTGACTCAGGGCCTTCACTTTGATTCAGCAAACAGAACCCTCTGTCTAAAAGAGGCCACAATCCTCATGGAGGAGTTGGAAAGAATTTGGCTTACAAGGGCCCCATAAAACTGATGGGTGACCTTTGGTAAGGTTTTAACATACATACAGGAACTATTATCCGTTTGTACATGTTTTCTCTGTATGCTTTTTTGTTCTTACAATAAATGTACTCTGCTGAGAAAGAGCTGCGTGGTACCTGGTAAAAATGCTGTGTCTGTCCTCAGAGAGATGGCACAGCACAGGTGCTGGCCTTTAGGCAGACTGACTTGCTGTGACTATCACAGTATATGATGGGAGTTTGCAGCCCTAAAACCCCCAATAAGAAGGAAGCTGGACAAGGGTCCCTGCCCAGAGACAGGGGACAGCTGGAGACCTGATTGGGCGTGCTTGGAGTGTACCATACAGGGGGGGAAACAGGTGAAGTTCCCTTGAAAATTGGACTGTTCCCATTGCGGTCTGTTAGACATTTCCCCCTGTTTGTGTCAGTCTCAGAAAGAACAAGTAATGGTCTCAAGTTGCAGTGGGGGAGGTTTAGGTTGGATATTAGGAAAAACTTTGTCACTAGGAGGGTGGTGAAGCACTGGAATGGGTTACCTAGGGAGGTGGTGGAATCTCCTTCCTTAGAGGTTTTCAAGGTCAGGCTTGTCAAAGCCCTGGCTGGGATGATTTAGTTGGGGATTGGTCCTGCTTTGAGCAGGGGGTTGGACTAGATGACCTTCTGAGGTCCCTTCCAACCCGGATAGTCTATTCTATGAAAACAGAAAAGTATGATTGTAAAATCACAAACACTTTCAGGGGACTTGGGCATATGTATTTACCTGAAACCACTTTTAACAATTTTTATTAGCTAGATTTCAAGTTGACGGGGGTGTCCTTTTATCCCAAAACCATTTCTATAGAACTGTACTGACAGTTCTATAGAAATGGTGCACAAACTATTCTGGTGCACAAACATGCCAGCACATGAAACAGTTAAATTGTTTTTTCCACAAACAAAACAAAATCTGTATCTATCTGGGTGGAAAATACATTTTATTTTAAAGATGCTAAGATGTTACAATATTGAACAATCACTTACATGACAACGTCCCTTTAAGCCTAGACTAGAATACACATTATGATTTTCTTAAATTATGAATTTTCTGCTTTACCTTAACAAACAAGGGACCACTGTGCTGTGCCAGCCAACCACTGTAATGTACATTTTCTTTCATGGTCCTTCATTTAATGAACAACAACTATAACCTTATAACAACATGCTATAAAACAGGCTGGTTTTCATCATGCTTGTAAAGTTCAAGCCCCCTAGAATATACTCATGCAATTGTACAGCATCTTTCTCTATTGTGAATAGTTTTTACTTATACCTGTGATAATATTTTTTAAAAAATGCTTTATGGCAGGATGTGCACATGGGTGAGTTGGCTAGAGAAAAGGAAAAACCATATGCCTTTTACTAAACAAGGAGCATTTACCCACAGTCATTAAGGGTACGTATTTATAAAAAGCACGAGTGGCTGCCTGGTCATGCAGAGAATCTGAGAGAGGCCTCTCAAGTCTCTAGTGCAACCAAATGGCAGTGTGCTGTCCACCCCACCGTCAACAGAATCAGAGCAAGTGTAGTGCTCAGGGTCCTGGTGGCACTAATAAGATGAGCACTTATCCACTTTTTATATCGAGATACACGTACATAGATCCCAGGAAGTTTGGGTCGGCCACATCCAAATCCAAAACTGGTAATCCCTATCAGATAATATTTGCTGGTACCTAGGTGATAGCACACTAACGGTCCACCGCTATCTCCCTAACAAGACAAAAATGACACACACACAGACCCCATATTGTTATTTCTAGTATTTTGAAATTCTAAGGCACAGAACATTAGAATTAAGATTATAATTATCTAACTTTTACTAATGGTAAAAAGAAAAAAATTATATCCCAAATATATGGATGAATCATGATAAATTTGCATCTGGTAACCTTAACCAGGCCAGACTATCATACCTACAATAGGTTTCTTATAGTCTATATTACTAAAGTTCTCAAAAATTTATCTCCTCCACAGGTCTACATTCTAGCATTCAGATCACCCTTAAGCTACATATCTACAAATTAATAACTGAATTTAAATTCAGTTATCTATCTGAATTATGCATATATGCAAATAAATGCTGAGTTCCACTGTATAAACAGTAATGGCTTGATCAATTCCCAAATCACCTGTTCAAAGGAAGACTGCTGAAGAAGGTGGATAGGATGGTAGACAGAATGCTTGTGAATACACTATCATCTTTAATTATAGAAAATAAACTACCTGTCTTTCACATTAATGGGCCCAATATCTGCACTCTAAGGCCCAAACCTTGAAGTCCTATTGCAAATTCATGCCCTTTGACTTGAATACTGATGGTAAAACTAGCAAGAATCAAATCAAGTTAAATACAGCTTCCTCATTGAAGAAGTAAATAAGACAGTTCTACAGCCTCTACGGTATGTGGTATGTCTTATTACTTCTACATTCCTTTGACTAAGTTTTACTATTAATGTCTTCCAGGTCCATTGTATCAGTTATGGCATGAACTGAATCGTAATCAGTGTTCTATGGCAGTAGCTTTCAAACTTTTTTACTGGTGACCCTTTTCAAACAGCAAGTCTCTCAGTGCAAACCCCCCCTTATAAATTAAAAACACTTTTTTATCTAACACCAGTATAAATGCTGGAGGCAAAGCAGGGCTTCGGGTGGAGGTTGACAGCTCGCGACTCCCATGTAATAACCTCAACTCCCTGAGGGGTCCTGACCCCCACTTTGAGAACCCCTGTTCTATGGAGAGGTACTGCCATGCTACAAAGCTGCATGCTGTGTACTCCATGTGGAGAGCTGGTTACATAGCATGCTTGCAGTGTAAACAGATCAGTACAGTAAGGATCCTCCCTAAGACTAAGACTTTTCAGCTTGGAAAACAGACGATTAAGGGGGGATATGATAGAGATCTATAAAATCATGACTGGTGTGGAGAAAGTAAATAAGTAGGGCCCTAACAAATTCACAGCCATGAAAAACTCATCACAGATCATGAAATCTGGTCTTTTGTGTACTTTACCCTATACTATACAGTTTTCACAGGGGAGACCAGCATTTCTCAAACTGGTGTTCCAAACCAAAAGTGGGGTATGGGGTGGGGGGGTGTCTCAAGGCGATTCTAGGGGGGATTGCTATATTGCCACCTTTACTTCCGCGCTGCCTTCAGAGCTGGGCGGCTGGAAAGGGGCGGCTGCTGTGTGACAGCCCAGCTCTGAAGGCAGCACCACAGCAATAAAGGAGTACCGTACCATGCCATCCTTATTTCTGCACTGCTTCCGGCAGCTGGGGGTAGTTCCTGGAGGTGGGGCTGACCTGGCCCCAGGAGAGGCCCCTGCAGGTTAAAAGGAGGTCCCATCCCACACCAGCCCGTCCAGGACCAGCAGCTGGAGCCTGACATATGATAGGAGCCCTCAGGGAGGGTGCCTGCAGGCCTGCCCCTCCCTGGCTCTGGGCCCAGCGCCCCGGTGCTCAGGAGTTAAAGGTGCCTTGGGCTGGCTGTGTGTGTGGGAGAGGTGATCATGGAAACCCCCACGCACACCATGGTACCCTGGGCCGTCGCTCACCCATAAGGCCAGCCCCAAAAGTGAGGCTCCCCCCGTGTCATGCCACCCTCACTTCTCCACTGCTGTTGGCGGTCGTGTTGCCTTCAGAGCCAAGCGCCCGGCCAGCAGCTGCAGATCTCTGGCTGCCCAGCGCTGAGGGCAGTGCCAGCAACAGCGCAGAAGTAAGGGCGGCAGTACTGCGACACCCTCCCATGACGTCCCTTTGGGTTGTGGCCCCCCCCACGGCTACAACACTCTGAACTTTCACATTTAAGTATCTGAAACCGTTACATTTATGATTTTTAAAATCCTATGACCATGAAATTGACCAAAAGCAACGGTGAATTTAGTAGGGCCCTATAAATAAGGAAGAACTAGGGGTCACCAAATGAAATTGATAGGCAGCAAGTTTAAAACAAACAAAAGGAACTGTTTCTTCACAAAACGCAGAGTCAGCCTGTGAACTCTTTGCCAGAAGATGTTGTGAAGACCAAGACTATAACCGTTCAAAAAAGAACTAGGTAAGTTCATGGAGGTAAGTCCATCAATGGCTATTAGCCAGGATGGGGAGGGGTGCAAAACCATGCTCTGAAGTGTCCCTAGCCTCTCTTTGCCAGAAGCTGGGAATGGGCGACAGGGGATGGATCATTTCATGACTACCTGTTCTGTTCATTCCCTCTGAAGCACCTGGCATTGGCCACTGTTGGAAGACAGGATACTGGACTAGATGGACCTTTGGTCTAACCCCGTATGGCCATTCTTATTAAAATTATATAATACTAATGAGGAGTCTTGGTGACTCCACAATTGAGTGGAACTCCAATTGAGTGGAACTCCAACAGCTTATCATCAGACCACAAAATGTAATAATATCCTTTTATACTTGTTTGCTTATTTATTGCTTTAGTGTATAGTTTTGAAGTTAGTAAATGGTGCAAGAGATTTCAATAGAATCTCTCAGTAAAGAGTAGGAGAAGTCAGAAATACTCAATTTTCTTGTTGTAATAATGATATTTAATAGTGTTATGACTTGGTTTTAGCAGCACTATGAAATGCTAGAGAGACAAGACAAGGTAATATCTTTTATTGCACCAACTTCTGTGGGTGACACAGTTGAGCTTTTGAGCTACACAAAGTTCTTCATCTAAGAGCTCTGTGTAAGCTCAAAAGCTCATCTGTCTCACCCACAGAAGTTGGTCCAATAAAGATATTACCTCACCTATCTTGTCTCTCTAATAATCTGCAAGCAACTCAGCTACAACACTGCATACAATTATGAAATTTTATCAGTTTGATGCCAAAATCATAGTATTAAGACTTTGAAACATCAGGGCAATGCTGTTGTGAAAATCATCACTACACCCATAGTACACACAAAATTAATTATAAACAATGGTAAATTAGAAGGAAATTAATATATAAGGGGTTCTGGTGACTTAAAAGTGAATCCTAGATGTTCATTTTGTGCTAGTAACTTTTGTCTCATTTCCTCCTTTCCCTATTGCCTTTGCTGTATTTCGTCTTTATTCTCTAAGACACATTGACTAAACTGGGGCCATATATGCATAGGGCCAGATTTTCAAGAGAGCTCAGCAGCTAGCAGCTCCTATTGTTCTCAATGAGGGGGGGTTGAAGGTTGGTGCGGTGAAGATTCTCCATTAATCTCAATGGGAGATGCTAAGATCTGAGCACTTCTGAAAATCTTGCAACTAAACCACTTTGCTCACCAACATGTATAGGTACTTCTTGTCAAACACAAAGAAGCATGAACTTATATTAAATGCACAGATTTAGTGTGGATGTATGCTACACAGACACATTATATTTATATAATTACATATGTGCACCGTTTGTGCATATTTATACATATAAATAAAACCTTTTGTATTTTATTGTAATCATCTTTATGTCAAGCATTGCATAAACAAACAATTTGTCTTGTTTTTGTTCTTCCTTCTTTCTGTCAACTTGGTCTTTCCTTCTACTGTGTATCACTGTTTTTAAATTCAGATTATTTTTCTCTAAAATCATCATTCTTTCCTTTTGTTTGTCCGATACCTTTCACTCTTCTGACTTGACCATTGTTTTCTGTTTATTATTCCTACTGTATTAATGCCCAAAATCCTGGTCCCAATGAAGCCAATGAGAGTTCTGATGTCAGATTTCCATGGCAGAAGGCTGGGACAGTACATTTACAAATAGAAAATTCCAGTCTTACCTGACAGCTATCGATACCTCCAGATTCCAAGCCAGCACAAAACATATTATTATTAATCATCCCTGCATACCATTCAAAACCATTACAAATATCAGAAGGAATAATGTCTACTGGAGCTTCTTGTAATATAGGTGAGCCTTCACCTGTAATGGAACATAGAACATATAGAAGATGAACCATTTTGCTACTACAATTGTAGCATTTTTGTGCACATACTTTTCAGTTCAGTGCGACTACTTGCGCTGAAAATTAAGAATGTTTATGAATACGATTTGGCTTTAAGAAACTGCTTTATCACCGGTTTCAGAGTAGCAGTCGTGTTAGTCTGTATTCGCAAAAAGAAAGGGAGTACTTGTGGCACCTTAGAGACTAACAAATTTATTTGAGCATAAGCTTTTGTGAGCTACAGCTCACTTCACTGACTGCATCCGATGAAGTGAGCTGTAGCTCACAAACGCTTACCCTCAAATAAATTTGTTAGTCTCTAAGGTGCCACATGTACTCCTTTTCTTTTTGCTTTATCACTGAATGTCTCAGTGTACCATTTGTGTCAAGGCTGTGTTACATATCTCCCAGACCTGGTACAATGGAGGAGAGTCTTTAAATCGTGTTGGTCGCCCATTCAAATGGGCCAATGGGCTGGCTGAAGCTAGGAGAACCAATTTTCTCTAACTTCTCTGCAGGGGTCTGAAGGAGTGGAATTTCCCCAAAAGCAGAACAAAAATAAAAGGTTTTAGACATGGGTTTTAGAAAAAACAGAGTGAACTAACGTGAGGTAGGGAATGGTGTACAGGTTTTCTATTGTTTAGTCTGGATCTATATAGTTCTTGTCTTGTGCTATCTAATGTGTCTGTTTGCTTCCACTATCGTGTCCCTGAAGAGGTAAACTGTAAACCAGTTTCCTACAAGGTGGGACTCTGGAAAAGAGTGGGCTACGCTACTGGGGAGTCTGGGGGAGATGGCACTAGTCATGGAGCTGATGCAGTTAGACTAGGCGTTCAGCTCAGAAGTGATGTGAGACAGAGGATCTATACCCTACGTGTGGGCCTGCAGAGGTAGTACCTGGATTCTGTTCAGTCTCAAGAAGCTTAGAAGCACATGGGCCTGGAAGCCAAAGACAGTAGCCTGGTGTGTCCAGCAGGAGGATTTTTACCATGGCTGTGACAACATGCGTAAGTCATTGCAGGATTGGGGGTGAAGGTGTTATTTGACCTTTCTGACTCTGAAGAAACATGTGAGATACTTGTACTTAGAACTTTCAAAGCGCAGGGGCCATGTTGTGTCTCACAGGCTCATCTGATCCCCGATGCCCTTGTATCTTCCCTTAGGGAGGCAGCTCCACTACGAAAGTTACTACACGCTGAGTCTGTGCTCATTGGTGTTTAGAGAGGAGAGGAGAGAATCCTGTGCAGACCTGCCAGCCCCCCTACTCATTTGGAGCCCTACATAGCCTCAAACTTTCTATATCTAATTTACTGTTGCTAAGTATAACGTTTTTCTAAATGCTAATGTCTGGGAACTGAAACGAGAATCTAAAAGTCAAATTCAGTTCTTCCTTCTTTTACATTATCCCTTGACTAAAGACTAAGGACCAAACTATGCCCTCAGTTACACTTGTTCAGCCCTGGGTTGCCTTCAGTGGGGGTATAACTGAATTTGACTTGCAGAATGATTTACAGGTGATGTACATGGAGATTTGAATCCAGCTTGACTTTCAGACCTTTTTGTGAGTTTGAGCTGCTGATGGGTAGAAAAAATAACTTTTTACTTGTAAACTGAAAATTGTATGTGAAAAAACACCTAACAGAGTTTCACAATATTAGCAGAACTGCACTTTAAGCAATCAAGTTTTGTGCTAAGCAGAGCTGATTCCTTTAAGTGGGCTCAGTCGCACTGAAAAATACTCTGTTCTCTTCATTTTGACTTTTTACCTTAAAAAAAGTCATTCCTAATCCTAATAACCTGAGGCCCATAGGTAGAGTTTTAATGGTATTGTTATTCCAGGTACTAAAACTTTCATGCTTCATCAAATTCTCTCTTTCTCTGTATAAAATGAAGGCAGTAGGAGTACATCATGGTTTTTGTAATTAAAAGGAGGATGCATTTGGAATAAAGCCAAGGAGAGCATGAATGGCAGCAGTATCTAGGAAAGAAATGCCAAAAATAACAGATGGTTTCAAAAAAGCTTCCCTTGAAGCTAAAACAGAACCACATCATTTAAATAATGCCTTCACAGCAAGTAAGCTTGTGTCATAAATATAAAGGGAAGGATAACCACCTTTCTGTATACAGTGCTATAAAATCCCTCCTGGCCAGAGGCAAAATCCTTTCACCTGTAAAGGGTTAAGAAGCTAAGGTACCCTCGCTGGCACCTGACCCAAAATGACCAATGAGGGGACAAGATACTTTCAAATCTGGAGGGGGGAAAAAGGTTTCTGTCTGTCTGTGTGATACCTTTGCTGGGAACAGATCAAGGATGCAAGCCCTCCAACTCCTGTAAAGTTAGTAAGTAATCTAGCTAGAAAATGCATTAGGTTTTCTTTGTTTTGGCTTGTAAATTCACCGTGCTGGAGGAAATGTGTATTCCTGTTTTTGTGTCTTTTTGTAACTTAAGGTTTTGCCTAGAGGGATTCTCTATGTTTTGAATCTGACTGCCTGTAAGATTATCTTCCATTCTGATCTTACAGAGTTGTTCTCTTATTTTTTTTGTTCTTCTAGTAAAGTTCTGATTTTTAAGAATCTGATTGGGTTTTTTGGGTCTTAAAAATCCAAGGCTGGTTTGTGCTCATCTTATTTATTCTCAAGCCTCCCCAGGAAAGGGTGTGTAAGGACTTGGGGGGATATTTTGGGGAAACAGGAACTCCAAGTGGTCCTTTCCCTGTTCTTTGTCTAAATCACTTGGTAGTGGCAGCATACTGTTCAAGGACAAGGCAAAGTTTGTGCCTTGGGAAAGTTTTTAACCTAAGCTGGTAAAAATAAGCTTAGGAGGTCTTTCATGCGGGTCCCCACATCTGTACCCCAGAGTTCAGAGTGGGGAAGGAACCCTGACAGCTTGCATTACTTGAAATCAGCTATCTCTTGGATTACCAGTTAGTTTAATTAATAAAAAAAAAAAAATCAAGCAAATCTTTACCTTTCTCTGCAATACTTCCCCAACCACTTATGAAGCACTCTGTTTGGTTGTTGATGTTTAGATGAATGTGAACAAAGGGTAAGCAGATGGGCTGAATATAGTCATTGTAGTTTACAGATTTATATAGTTTAAATAATGCAATATCATTTTCAAATGTCTGTATTCTGAATTCTGAATGGACAAAAATCTCTCTCACGCTACTTTTCACAGTATGTCTCTCAGGTCTGGAAGTATCATGAAGGCCAATCACAACCCTCCAGTAGTATGGGTCCCTAAAAGAGAATCAACAATTAATTTCTTACATCTGTGGTACAATAAAGAAATTACTTGTTTGCATTCTTTAAAATTGGTTTTGTTTTGTTGGCAACTTACGCACATTTGACAACATGCTTTGAAAATCCCATATTAAATACTTTTGGGACAAGTTCATGAGAGATTGCCTCATATTTGGAAGGCAAATCCAGATCAATACTTTCAGTTAATATTCAGATTTGGCTGCCCAGCTATGCCTGTGGAGCTCAGTGGTGAGTTGTTTGGAGAAAAGATACAAACAGATTTTTTTTTTTTTAATATAGAAATGTTGAATGCTTAGTGAAAGAAGCATGGCATACTGACAGTAAAAGAAACAGGCTCTTTAATAAAGAAGTCTAGAGGTGAGATTCTAAGAGGTGCAGCTCAGTACTCACAGCAAAAGTGGCATTAAGCTATCTTTGCACCTTCTAGATTCTGGGCTGCTCTGGGGCTGGAGAGGTATGCATTGTAACTTAAGATAGCTCTGGGGACCTAAGGATGTGTAAGTAGATTAATAAGCCTCTTTTGAGGCGTTTATTACTGTACTGTAAAATGAAAGTTTAGCCTCTGATAGTCTTTTAGTATTTTCTAAATAAAGGTTTTACAACCTCATAGAAAAAAGAGATGAAGTACTGCTTACTTTAGAAAAACTGAAAAATCCCCTGCAATGTTTACTACCCAAATATTGCAACATTTTGCTAGTGCAGTACATTACTGAACAGTAAAGCTGATTGGGGAAAAAATATTCCTGGAAAAAATTTCAACATTTAGTCAAAAACCTGAAAAATGTTGGCCGAAAACCTCAGTCTACTCTTAAGCCTGCCCTCTGTGTTGGCACTGTTGATGTGGAGCCCCATGCTGGGGATGCAGAGATCTCCAAACACCATTACTGTAGCTACAGACCCTCTGGTGGAGGGCTACTTATGGGCGTAAGTTGCACAGAATGTTTTAAGCTCCTCTGAGCCGAGTGGATGCCAACACTGGGGAATATTGGGACATAGGAGTCAGACGTTTACTGCTCAGTAATTGTTGTACAACCTTAGAACCCAATCCATGCAAGTCTGGCAAAACTCGCACTGATTTCCATAGTGTAGTATCTGGTCCTCCATTTTGCTCAAGGATAATGCTGATATGATTTAAAATTACACTATGGAAGTTATAGGTGATGCATTTCTGGTCAGTTATATCTTTCTCACACTTAACTTAACAGAAGAGGTTTAGAATTTAATACATACATATGTCCTCTAGTACAATGCGCTGCTGTCAGCACTGAATACTCATCAATTAAAGATCCACCGCACAGATGTTTAAATCCTACGCCATATTGGTAAACTTGGAGACTAACTTGCCACGGCCATGCTCCGAGCTGTGCATCATGTCCGCCTACAATCCGAGGTCCTGATATCATATCCACCAGTACCCGCTCTCCACACTCTACAAAACAAAACACAATAAGTTAAATTGTTCAGATTGCAATATGAAGATTTTTTGTGCATTTCTAGTGTTTTCTGCATGGGTTTTACAAAAGGTTTACCAATGTTATTACAACTAGTTTTTGCATTCCCATTTAGAGCCCTGGTTCAGCAAAGTGCTTGAGTGTGTGCTTAAGTCCATCCCTTCATCTATGTTTAAGTGCTTTTGCTGAATAGGGCTCACTTTAAGCAAGTGGTTGAACTGCCTTTAAGAAATGTACAGAAAGTTGCACAGAGGTATGTATTGCAGTGGTGTCTTATACGATATTGTGCTTATATAACGTGACTGTACCAACAATTAATTAAAAAGTATTAATAAAAATAGTGCAAACTCTTCTTTAAAGCTATGCAAGAATTTTGAAATTATTTCACAGTGAAAAGTTTAAGTCACTTTTAACATTAGACTTTGCATTGATGTCCAAGGTCTTCAAAGAACTTTACAAAGGGTGGGTAGTATTATCTGAGGTGTGGTAAACAACATAACACAGCAGGTCAGCAGCAAGGCTGGCAACAGAACCCAGCTCATCTGCGTTTCCAGTTCCCTACTCTAAACACATGACATTCCTGCCTTCTGGACTCACAGTATTTACTCTGGTGATGAAGCATTTTATCATGTATTCGGAATTACCTTCAGGCTTGGCTTACAGAGTCAGCTACCCAGGATACCTATCTATCTTAGGTAGGTATGTGGCCCCCATGACCATAGTATCTGAGCACTGTAATGGATTTAGCATCATCCACGAGATAGGAAAGCACTATTATCCCCATTTTACAGCTAGTCTCTGAGTCGCAGCTCCCTAACTGACTCGTGGATCACACATGAAGCCTATGGCACAGCGGGGAATTTAAGCGAGGGCTTGAATGGCCCAGGACAGCACCCTAACCACTCGACCACCCTTCTTTTCCATACCGATACCAAATGTAAGCATAGGTACTGGAACTAGGTGTCAGGGTGGGGGGCGCGGAACCCTCTGGCTTGAAGGGTTTTCTATCACATACATGACAGGTTTCAGAGGAACAGCCGTGTTAGTCTGTATTCGCAAAAAGAAAAGGAGTACTTGTGGCACCTTAGAGACTAACCAATTTATTTGAGCATGAGCTTTCGTGAGCCACAGCTCACTTCATCAGATGTGTACTGTGGAAACACGTGGAAACACGGTACACATCTGATGAAGTGAGCTGTGGCTCACGAAGGCTCATGCTCAAATAAATTGGTTAGTCTCTAAGGTGCCACAAGTCCTCCTTTTCTTATCACATACATGGTTTACGCTTTAGTTCAACGGCTCTCAGTACCCCTACTATACAAATCGTTCCAACACCACCGAGTGGAAGGGGCTTCCAGCACATGTTGGGATTCCCCCCCAGACCTTTCCAACGCAGCAGCCTAGCGAGAACACTTCATCCAGGCCACGGGGCTCCAAAACCCGCAGAGTTTGACTCTGGATTTCACCCTGCAGGTTCCCTTATGTGGCATATGCAGCAACGCTCGGCTGAGGCGATCAGCAACTTCACCGTCCCGATCATGCCTGTGATGGCGTGGGCACTGCTCGTGGGGGCCTGACGAGGCCTGAAGTACTTGACATACTCCCAGGGGACAACCTCCTCCTCCTCTCCCCCGGCCCTCCAGCCGCCGGCGCGGGCCAGGGGCGAAAGCTTCGCGGCCTGACGCTCTCGCTCCGTGTTACCGCGGCGCCCCCGGTGCAGCGCACGGGCGGCGGAGACAGCACCAAAGCTACCAGCCCCTCCCACGGGAGCGGGCGCCTGGGCCCTTCCCGCCCGCCCCTCAGGGCTCTGCCCAGCCGGCCCTGGAGAGACACGGGGAGGTTGGCGCGCAGCCTCATGGGCCGGGAAACTCGGGGGGGGGCGGGGGGGCACTCATCTCTGCGCAAGCGCACTCGAGTCGCACCAAAGAGTAACGGAAAATTTGGTTCCGACAGTGGGCAGCGTGCGCACGCGCAGTGCGGGGCTCGGGGCTCTGCGGTGCCTCAGGCACGGCCCCCGCAAGCCGCTGCGACGGCCCCCGGCCTCCCGCAACTCCCAGCCGCGGGAACCTTACTGCTCGTGGAGCTCCGCGGGGCCAGGAGCCCGGCGCTGCGGCCCGCTCGCAGCAGCACCGCCACTAGGGCGGCGGCACAGAGGCTCGGCCACATCGTCCTGGGAGCAAACAAAATGGCGGCTGGTTCTCGTCCAACGGTCATTCCCGCGCCGCTGGCGCGAGGCTGCTGGCCACGTGACCGGGGAGAGGCGCCTTGCCCTGGTCGCGTGCCTCCGCTGTGGCGGCCATGTAGAAAGGGGGGAGTGGGACAATAGGATCGGGCCTAGGGCACAGTTTGGGGCAGGAGGGGGCTTGAGTCTGTCGGGGGAGAAGAGGGACCAGGGTTCAGCGTGGGGGCGGGGGACAAGGAGGCGCAGGGTCTGATGGAAAGCGGAGCAGCGTGGTGACTAGGCTGGGGAGACGGCAGGTCTGTGGGGAAGGGTGGTGTGAGGGGATGGGGGTCTCCTTAGCAATTGGGCGCAACAATTGACGTCTGTGGCTTGGGGGGGCAGGAGAGGAAGAGGCAGGTATAATTCTCCAGTTAAAAGAACAAAAACACACACTTGCAGTTTAAAAATTGCGTTTTAATTTAATTTCTCCAATAAATTGTTTCTGTCAACTACTCTAGTAACTTTTTTCCCCACTGAGAAACAATATGGTTCTATCGCAGAATAACATTGCTACAGGACCACAACTTTTTTCAACAACACACACCATTTTTTTTTGCAAAAAGAAAAGGAGTACTTGTGGCACCTTAGAGACTAATCAATTTATTTGAGCATGAGCTTTTGTACGATTTATTGGTTAGTCTCTAAGGTGCCACAAGTACTCCTTTTCTTTTTGCGAATACAGACTAACACGGCTGTTACTCTGAAACCTGTCTTTTTTTTTTTTTTGGCAAAGATATATCTACTGCTGAGAGGAATAAGGATTTCAATCACTCATGCATCACAAGAACTGGGCAGAGTAGCTACAGGTTAGTGTTTATCAGTAATGTTCTCAGTAATTGTAGAAGAGCAAAAAGTCTTAACAGAGATCAAGATCATGAGACACATGCTGCCAGAGCCCTGCACCTTTGCAGGGGTTTCAGTGATATTCTCCCATCCAAATATTAAGCAAGGCTTCCTGTTGCCTGTAAGATCTACTGCAATCATAATACAAAGGCGACATTGCTGCATATAGGGGGTGAAATCTTGGCCCCACTGAAGTCAGTGGGAAAAGAACCCATTGACTTTGTTAGGGATAGGATTTCACCCATGGAAAAATTGTACCTTTCTTTAGACCTCAGTTTTGTCAGTGTTGATTCACAGCATAATTTCTGAATCATTTGACTGGTTGGGTAATTAACAATATAAAAATATCACACCAAGTGGTAGACTTTGACACAGGCTTAAAAAATCTTCCAACATTCCAGGGCCGTAGCAAAGTTATAGTTAAATTGTTTATACTACAACCTCAGCTAGCTGAATGGCATGAGATATATTAAACTAGCTCGATAACTGTTACGAAAAGAGCAGGGAAGGATTAATATTAGCGAATGTTGCGTCCTCTAGCCAATACATTTTTGCAGCTGAGTGGAGGTTATATGTTATTAGGGTCAAGCACCTACCTACCAGCCTATGGTGCGTAAAAGCAAACTACTGATGCAAAACCAAGGCAGGAGAGAAAGAAGCAGGCCTTATAAGATAGAGGGTGGAAATAAAGATGTGACTTTATAGAAAGCAATTCCCACCACAAGCTTTATTTTCACAGTTGTGTCTCAATTGCCTTTTGGTGGTGAAAATAAACTAATGATTATCTGAAGGAACTTGTCAAGATAAAGCAACATACTTAGGAAGCTATTTCCCTGAATAGTTAAAGAATAAGTATTCTTTCTTGGCTTTGACTACTCCAGTTGTTTATGTGATATCTCCCACTGTTGTGTTATCGGGGCAGCTCCACTGGTGATAACTGCTGTGGAAGCAGTAGTTTTCACCAGTATTTTTGCGTCTGTATTTAGACTTGCTTTCAGCAGGTTTGGATGAGACAGACTGGTAAAAATGCTAGTGACCTGTCTACACTAATGTACCTCCTTATTGCTATAAGTGGGGCAGTGCAACAGTGAGATAGACCTCTCAAAAAAGGCTAGTATAGACACAGCCTCTCTGAGACAATCTTTTCCGCAACGTCATTGTTGGTAAAACTAAGAAGAAGGGTTTTCCAAATTTTTTTTTAGTGTCCACCATGCACAGTGGAAGGGACAATGGTATGAAATATGTGGCCCAGGCAGAATTCTGTTGTACTTCCATTCAAACTGGAACTTAATGTGTCCCAAATTATAGTAATTTACCTAAAAGAAAAGGAGTACTTGTGGCACCTTAGAGACTAACATCCGATGAAGTGAGCTCTAGCTCACGAAAGCTTATGCTCAAATAGATTGGTTAGTCTCTAAGGTGCCACAAGTACTCCTTTTCTTTTTGCGAATACAGACTAACACGGCTGTTACTCTGAAACCAGTAATTTACCTGCACACATCTATAGAATGTTTATTTCTAAAGACGTCTAGATACGGGCTTTGTTCCTTCTGGGATTGACTTCTGAATCAGAAATTTAAGGTGACTGAAGTATAGTCATGTTATTACTTGTACTGAGATCTCAGGATTAATGTACATCTTGCTCTTTGGTTAAGAGTGACCATTAATTACATGTGAGTAAATTAATTACAGTAACTCCTCGCTTAACGTTGTAATTATGTTCCTGAAAAATGCTACTTTAAGTGAAATGATGTTAAGCGAATCCAATTTCCCCACAAGAATTAATATAAAGCAGGGGAGTTAGGTTCCAGGGAAACGTTTTTTGCTGGACAAAAGACTATATTTTATATTTATATATATATACACACACACATATACACAGTATAAGTTTTAAACAAACAATTTAATACTGTACACAGCAATGATGATTTTGAAGCTTGGTTGAGGTGATGGAGTCAGGAGGTGGGCTATTTCCCATGGAATGCCTTACTGCTAAATGATGAACTAGCACTTGTCTGAGCCCTCAAGGGTTAACATGTCGTTAATGTAGCCTTACGCTCTACAAGGCAGCACGAATGGAGGGAGGAGACACACCATGTGTGTGAGAGAAAGACGCACATTTAAGTATGTTGACCCCACTCTTAAGTACACTGTCTTTTTAAGTAGATCAGCAAGTTGAGACAGCAGCTGCTGCCAGCAAGCTCCCTCCATCCTGAGCCCTGTGGTGTGTCCCCCTTGCTCTGTGGAGATAGGGTACAGGAGCAGGGGTGCTGGAGCGAGGGGAGGGGGTCTGTGATGAAGTGGGACTGTTCTTAATGTTTCCTCTGAATAATGTGGGGGTGCCTAAGTTTCCCCTATGCAGTTCTTAAGTATCTAGGTGGTGGGGTAAGGGTGTATGATCACTGCAGAGCCCTAAAGGGCAGGTGTGTGCAGGAATCTGGACACAGTTTCCTGGCAACTGATGGCCTGGGCCCTTCCCCCCTTCAAGGTGAGAGCTAAAGGGTTGGAGAACAAAGGAATCAGGTGACCTCCTGGCCCGGGAAAGGGACAAAGCCCAGAGGATGTGGGGCTGGAGAGAGTTTCAGTTTGGGGCTGGCTGGACACATGGAGTGAAGGGCAGACGTGGTTGTCTGGCTCACTGCCCCCCAAAATGGACCCAGCTGAGGGGTCCTGTTCTCTGTACCTGCAAGCTCTGTGTTAGACCATGTTCCCGTCATCTAATAAACCTCTGTTTTATTGGCTGGCTGAGAGTCACATCTGACTGCAAAGTTGGGGTGCAGGACCCTCTGGCTTCCCCAGGAGCCCCACCTGAGTGGACTCGCTGTGGGAAGCACACGGAGGGGCAGAGGAGGTCAGACCCAGGAAGGTGGAAGCTGTGTGAGCTGTGTGTCCTGAAGACAGGCTGCTCACAGAAAGGCGACTGCCCCAGAGTCCTGACTGGCTTCATGGGGAGCAGTTCCAGAGCATCGCCCAGGGACTCCGTGACAGGGACACCCTGACATTAGCACCCCACTTCCTCCCCCTCCGCCTGCACAGCAAACAGGAGGCTCCGGGGAGCAGCTCCAAGGCAGAGGGCAGGAGCAGCACAGGGCAGTGGGGGGTGGGACAGTTGAACTGCCTGGCAGTTGATAGCCTGCTGGGCGGCTGCCACGCAGGGATCTTAGGGGAGCTGACAGGGGGGCTGCTGGTCCACCCTGGTTTCAAGTCCCCATCAGGTAACGCTAACGGGCTGCTCTTTCTGCAAGCAGTGGACAAAGCAGGTGGCTGCCAAACAAGGTTATAAGGGGGTACTGCACAACTTTAAATGAGTATGTTCTCTAATTGATCAGTTAAGAGTTACTGTAGATGATTTGTTGCAGAGTGGTAGCCATGTTAGTCTGTATCAGCAAAAAGAACAAGGAGTACTTGTGGCACCTTAGAGACTAACAGATTTATAAAAGCTTACGCTCAAATAAATTTGTTAGTCTCTAAGGTGCCACAAGTACTCCTCGTTCTTTTTGTAAATGATTTGTACAGAAGCAAACATTACAAAGTGCATACGTTACAGCACAGTGAGAATTATTTTATTGCATATCCGACGATATGAGACTGAACTGGAGCCCAGTATAATGGGACTTGTATGTGTCGTAACTTTATTTCTGAAAACTTGGCCTGTTCAAGGTTTTTCCAGGGCTCCCTTGTCAGGCAGCATCCATCAAACACAAGTTTCCAAGTTGGATAAAAGACTTGCTGCCAGAAATAGGTCCAGCTTGAAGGATCTGCAGCCACATGTTCTAAGAAATAAAATGCCCCACCCTGGGGGGAAAAAACAATTTAGAAATATTTTAGAAATGAAGGAACTGATATGCAGTTTGCATAACTTTTCTTTGTGTTCTTAAAACTCAGTTTCTGTTCTGCCTTTTCTCCCTCAGTAATTTATACACTTGGAATTGAGGCTTTCTTTGCATACATTTCAATAAGTATCAAAATACTCCCTCCCCTCCCAAGTTGCTCTTTTAATCCTGTACATTTTAAAATAAACAGAAAATTACATATTTTTGCAGAGGTGTTTAAAATCCATATCAATAAGTTCTAAAAAAGACAAAAAATGTGCTTGCTTAGGACCTGGTTTCTTTAACTCTATTTATCTTTCACAGTAATCAGTACTTTGTGTTTTTGTTCAGAGTAAAACTACTAGGGTGTGGTTTTCAAAGGAGCCTGAGAGAGAGAGATATGCTTAAATCCCATTAAAATGAATTGGGAATACTTAGGTCCCTTTTAAAAATCCCACCATTAAGGTTGAAATTTCTGTAGAGGAATGGAGCAGTTGAGAATCAGGACCAGGGAGTTTTAACCCAGATGGAATGCTTTATAGAAAGTTATGAGCAAATAAAGAAAGGGAATGGAATTAAAGGAATGGTTATTTCAACCTTACGGTTTAGATCAGCCCTTATTTTTAGATGTTAAGTGATTTGTCCAAAATAACATAGCGAGTCTGTAGCAGAGCAGGAGTAGAACCTAGATCTCCTGACTAGCAGAACTGAGATCTCCTGTCCATTGGACCATGCTGTCTAGGAAAGCTCTAATATTTCACCTATAACATCCTAAAACTTTAAACTTCACTGACTTAATATTTTATCCATATCTGGTGTAGATGAAAATGACCAATCTTGATATCTCCCATGTAAAATTTAAATACTTTTTTTGGGTAGGGGGCTGTGTTAACTGACACAAGATGTTTCACCATGCTAGATTGAAAATTTGCTTTTTTCTAACAGAAAAATCCCTTGTAGGGAAAAAAATTAAAATTCTGCCTTAAATTGCATGTGTCCCAATTGCCATTGAAGTTAGTGGGAGTTGAATGCACAAAACACAGTTGGCCTAAGACTAATGGGGCAAAGTGACCAGTATGCTCCTACTGCTTTGCACCTCTTTGATATGCAAAGTAGATACAAGTCCAGTTTAATTGGCCAGATAAATGAGATTTGTGGCAGCTTTGCATCTCCAGAGTGGCAAAAAGCTGAAGGTCACTGGTGAATCTGGTCCAGTGGCTGTAGAATAGGTAATAATAATATAGGAAATATCTTTTTTTAAATACTCACAGGCCTGAGTACTCTCAAAACTTCTTTCAAGACACCCTCTATGCTTTGCACTGAGCACAGGACCAAGGTGCAAACCACTGCATCCATAGAGCTGTCAGCCACTTGGTTCAAGTCCTCCCCTGGGGCCACCAGGAAGCGCTGAAACTGCAGGTGCTGGTTCTGTGCCATGCTCTTGGAGAGACCGCGCTGGAAGTTGAGGTTTGTGTCAGTGCAGGTAATTTTGCAGCCAGGTGGGTAGAATTGGAAGTTGGCGCCAGTGCCGGTCCCAATCTCCAGCAAAGTCAGTTCCCCCGCGGGGCCTGCAAACTCCTGCAGGTTGCCGAACAGCTCTTGTTTGTGCCCTGATGCCCTCCGGTTGTAACTTGCAGTTAACTTCTCTAATAAGAAAGGAAAGAATATCTTCTTACAGAATGGTTCCCACATGCCCAGGAATGATAGCAGGTATATGGGCAGGGCAAGCAGCTGAATGCTAACACGGAGAAACAGGACCACTGCCTTTTCCATTCCCGCTTCTCAGTAGGGCCTGCCCTGAAAAGAGCCTGCTTGTTTAAAAATAAGATCCCTTGAAGTTTAGGCAGAATGCAGAGTGAGTATCAAGCAGCTCTGTTCACTCTTGGGATTATTTTCTGCTCTTTGTACTCATCTGCTAGGCGGCTTCTACAGCCAATTTCAAAATCCAGTGTAAAGGTCCTGGCTGAAACTTGAGCAAAAAAGACCAGCTGCTCTGTTAGGAACAACTGACGCAGTCTGGAAACTGGTTGGTTATATGATGAACTGATACAGGCTGGCTCCTGCGTTTTGGAACTTGATTGATGCAACATGCTGCAAATCCCAGAAGCTTAACGGTTAGCAAGTTTCAGATAACAATTTCCGGCCTCTCTCTTAAAGCAGCCCTGTCTCATTTTCAATGTTGTGGCTAAGGGTTTATCCAGAAGGTGAGAGACCCTGGATCCAGACCCATGCTCCAACTTCTCTTTCATTATTTAGCCACAGGGGAACAGCTTCAACAGGAATTCCTGTTTTTCCCTAGTCTGTGAATCACTCTGGGGGTTAGGTGGGAAAGAGATGTCCTAGTGCTTAGAGTGAAGCAGAAACTTAGGTGGCTTGGGAACTTGTACTCTGAAAGCTTAGGTGCTGAGTGAGCTTAAGTACCTACAGCGTGTTAGGGTTCTCCCGAGACCTATTTCCACTTGGTTCCCAGAGAACTCTGTTTGACTCCAGTCTCAACACTCAGGTGCTTTTATTTGGCATACAGCCTCTATGTGGAGTTGATCAGGCTCAAACGTAGGAGGTGGGTATAGGGCGTACAACACATTCAAAGTTACACAGCAAACCTCTTCCTTTATATACATTACACAATACAGTGCATCACATTTTTGGGGTTGGCTTGGTCATTTTGTAGGAACCAGTCCCTCTTCTACAGCATGTTCTGTCCATGCCCAACTTACTCTTCACTTCATCTTGTGTTCCAGTCTTCTCTTATCCATTGTTAGCTTGTTTTCAGTAAATGATTCTCTGTGTATTTTCCCTCTTATTTTAGCTAGCTCAGACATTCTGTCTTTCAGCTTAGTGACCTGTTTACTTATCTTAGTACAAACTTTCTGTTTTCAGCCTGCTGATCTAGTTACCTTCTTTATCCTGTCTTCCAAGAAATGAGGCTTCCCCCATCTTTAATTACTCGTGTTAAGCTAGGCTTTCACAAGGTTTGGCAAGAGTTTTGTGGATCACAGTGGAGCCAAAACTGGAACTTAGGTGCACCTAAGTTCCTTTGTGGAGTCTACCCCTTCTCTATACTCTGCATCAAGCACTGCACCAGGATTCAGCAGAGAACTTGGGCTACCACAAAATCTCAATTTGGAGGTACTGATTCTCAGCGATTTTCCTGAAAAGAAACTTCTCAAAGTCGGGGTCTGTGCAGATCACTTGGCATCCCAACAGATAGAACTGGAAGCTGGCTCCAATGCCACAACTGATACCCAGCAGCACCAGCTCCTCTGTGGTGTTTGTAAACTCCTGCGAGCTGCTCAAGAGCTCCTGTTTCTGGTCAGAGGTCTTTCTGTTGTAAATGATGGTGAATCTTTCCATGACAGGTGGGAAAAATATCTTCTTGCTGCAGATGAGGTGTCTCAGTCTCAGGAACAAAAGCAGATATACAAGCAGGGCAAGGAACTGCTGTAGGAGCATAATTAGCAGCATTGCTGTCAGCAGAGAGGAGAGTTTGGACCTGACCAAGCTAACAGTGGTGTGGAAGAAATAGTCATGTCAGATGTTGGGGGAATTCTGTTGCTCTTTTGCATTTCTTACAAGCTGTAGTCATGGAGCTGTACCAAAATGTACTTGCCACACATCAAAGGAATCCAGCTTGAGGCAGCTATTGTGATAATGCCCTAACAGAAATTTCTTGGCTCCATTTTTATTCTGCAGGAGGTGCTATCCCAACCCCTTAAACTATAGAAGATATTGCTGCTGCCCCCAAAATCAAGCATAACCTTTCCCTGCATGGAAACAGGTGTTATTTTTAGTAGGTTGCATTTTTTTCAATTCCCCCCCCCAGACATTCTTGTTAAACCCTGGATTTGTGCTGGAAATGGCCCGCCTTGATTATCATACACATTGTAAGGAGAGTGATCACTTTGGATAAGCTATTACCAACAGGAGAGTGGGTTTGTGTGTGTGTGTGTGGGGGGGGGGGAACCTGGATTTGTGCTGGAAATGGCCCACCTTGATTATCACACACATTGTAAGGAGAATGATCACTTTACATAAGCTATTACCAGCAGGAGAGTGGGGTGGGGGGAGAGAAAACCTTTTGTAGTGATAAACACCCATTTTTTCATGGTCTGTGTGTATAAAAACATCTTCTGTATTTTCCACAGTATGCATCCGATGAAGTGAGCTGTAGCTCACGAAAGCTTATGCTCAAATAAATTGGTTAGTCTCTAAGGTGCCACAAGTACTCCTTTTCTTCTTACTCTTCCTTGACTTTAGACTACAGTGAAACAAGATACAGCCTGGAGCTGCACAGACAAATAAATGAGAATTCAGGATAACTTACATTCCCATACACAGAGGGTTGTTTGTTTTTTGTAGATGGTTTAATCATATGATCCAGGAGGCACTTTAGACTGTTTAAAGATGCTATGGATTTTGTTAATATGGGTTTTACAGAATCCTTCAATATGAAGACTTGCTACATAAGCAAAGTCTCTTCACTTCCGTGAGAACATCAAATTATTAACGTACAGGCTGCAAGAAGCCAACTTTTGGTTTCTGGCAGGTAGAAAATCAGAACATTGCCCTGATTTCACAACACTTCAGTTGTCAAGTCTCTTAGATGCAGGGAGGCCATGCTGTAAGTGGGGATCTTTCTGCCTGTCCAGAGGGTGGGGAAGCAGTGGCAGGACTTTCCCTCTAGCAGTGATATCACAGCATCCAGCATGGCCAATTAAATCTGACTAGGTCTCCTGGGAGAAATCATTTGCCAAAAAATATATATATATTTTCAGTAAATTGTATATGTAGCTGCCTGATTTTGCATCAAGTCAGTTCCATCATGCTCACCTCTATGAAGGGGACTGGTGTAACCAGCAAGTGGGAACAAGAGGAAAAGGGGGAAGATTTTGTTTTTGTGGTGTATGTAGCAATATAGCTGTGAGCTAGATTTTGTGATTCCATTTTCAGTGCCCTTTTCTTTACATGTAAGCAGCTTCTCTCCTGGGAGGAAGGGCTGTGTGTCAATTCAGGATGACTTTTACAGAGCAAGTAACACATATACATCAAAAAGGAAAGGAGTACTTGTGGCACCTTAGAGACTAACCAATTTATTTGAGGATTAGCTTTCTTGAGCTACAGCTCACTTCATCGGATGCATACTGTGGAAAGTGTAGAAGATCTTTTATACACACAAAGCATGAAAAAATACCTCCCCCCCACCCCACTCTCCTGCTGGCAATAGCTTATCTAAAGTGATCACTCTCCTTACAATAAGAAAAGGAGTTCTTGTGGCACCTTAGAGACTAACCAATTTATTTGAGCATGAGCTTTCGTGAGCTACAGCTCACTTCATCAGATGTGATGAATACAGACTAACACGGCTGTTCCTCTGAAACCTCTCCTTACAATGTGTATGATAATCAAGTTGGGCCATTTCCAGCACAAATCCAGGATTTCTGGTTTTCTAGAGAAAACCTGGATTTGTGCTGGAAATGGCCCAACTTGATTATCATACACATTGTAAGGAGAGTGATCACTTTAGATAAGCTATTACCAACAGGAGAGTGGGGTGGGGGGAGGTATTTTTTCATGCTTTGTGTGTATAAAAGATCTTCTACACTTTCCACAGTATGCATCCGATGAAGTGAGTTGTAGCTCACGAAAGCTTATGCTCAAATAAATTGGTTAGTCTCTAAGGTGCCACAAGTACTCCTTTTCTTTTTGCGAATACAGACTAACACGGCTGTTACTCTGAAACCTGACATATACACCATGCTTTCATATAGACTTTTAAGTTTGAGCTTTGTTTTCCTTTAACTGTTTGTCTGCTCTAAAAGATAAATCAATACAAAATGGCACTTGGTGCCTCATTGCTACTAATAAAGGCGGGCCTGTCACACAAGGCCTTCAGTTACACCTCTGTAACCTGGTGTTTTACAATCATGCTGTGACGTTATGAGTGTAATATAATATCTCATTGAAAGGTGACACAGGGCCAGAAAGAGTTAATTAACTCACAGACTGACCTGACTGATGGCCCAACTTTAGAGGCTGGTTAGGAAGATATGTAAATGAATAGAGCTTTGAAATGCAAGCCTGCATTGTTAGAGATAGAAGGATAGATGTTTGCTCAGGTCTTGTGATGTAAGCAAACAAGTCTTGTCTGTTGCTATGGCTTTGATTCAAAGATCAAAAAAGGAGTATTAATATTTAGGAAGACACTTGGGTGGAAAAGTATTATTGTCTATATGTCTTTTTGAAGGTTGTGGTAACCTGTATCTGAACTGTTTAATGAATAAATTACCCTATGCTAATTGCCATGATGTATGGGAGGAGGAAAGTTAAGCTTATTGTTTTCTCAGGCCAAAAGGCTGCTGGAAATTTGTAAAAACCTTGGGACACGATCCATCTTCATCTCAGATCTGCTTTGGGTTTCAAGAGTGGGAAACCTTAAGCCATAAGGATTGAGATCCCCAGTCACTGACTGGAGTCACCCTGAATATGGACATTGGACTATAACCTGTATACTGTTTCTAAAAGGACTTTTGGCAACTACAAGCTCATCTCTGCTATGTATCTGAACCTCAAGAAGTGTGGCTGCCTGATGATGCTGCCCATGGGAGCCAGCTGAGGTCACTCAATTAGGGTGAACTACAAACAGAATGGGGCAGACAAATCCCCAAAGCTGGTGGATATTACAATACTTAGATTTACCAAGGCAGCACAAAACAACTTCTATATTACCTCATTGGTTGATCAGAAATCTAAATAATGCAGTTCCCTTAAAGTGCCCAGCCTCAGGCCTCCATCCAGACACACCTGTCAGATATGATGATTACTGAAAATCTTATCTCATTATATAAAAGAAAAAGGTTCTTCCAATCCCAGAGGATCAGCCACACACCCAGGTCCAACTATAACTTAGATCCTACCCAAAATACACACCTATAGCCAATTCTTATTAACTAAACTAAAATTTATTAAAAAAGAAAGAGAGAGAGTTGGTTAAAAGATCAATATACGTACAGACTTGAATTCACTTCTCGAGGAAGTAATAGGGCTGCTGGGACATGAAGCAGGGCAGCAACAGGCATTGAGCAGGGACCCAGAATGCCTTCTGCTCACCCACCCCCTTCCCACAAGACCTATCGAGAGAGCTGCACGGTGGGAGAGCTGCCCGACAGCGCTGCTCTCATCAGCAGTGGAGGTGCTGCTAGTGTAAACACTCTGACGCCTGAGGAATTGAGTGAGGACACAAACCAGCGCTTTACTTTCACCAGTTCCCTGTCACCGGTTCAACTTACAGCACAAAAACTCTACAAGTGTAGACATACCCTAAGAAAGTACCTTTTTCTGTTTGTTTATACACAGTAAAGTGCACATTATTCTACTCTGTGTCCTGCACTTGGTTATCAGCGTGATAGCACTTGAAACAGAAGCCTTAAACTAGTTAAAACCACCTGCTAATGGGCCAGATTTTTCAAAATGGATCAGGATTAGATTTTCAAATGCTCGAGTCGATGTTTGAGGCCAGATTTTTGCACACACCCCCCATATAATATCTCAGCACCAGCAATTCCCATTGTGACACTTATGTCCAGTTTTCAAAAGATCCTGAAAGGTCTTAGAAATCTGGCCCATATTATTTAGGGCTGAACTGATGGGTTACTTTATGGCTAATTAAACTTATCAACTAGCCCCGTCTAGTCTTATGGTTACTTGAAGAAGGAGGTGTTGCTAGAGCAATTGTATGGCAATGAATGTTTGAAAGAGCTTGGGAGGTGGAATGGAAGCTGCAGGTTAATATGCTTGATGTTCTTTGGCAGGTACTAGGTTCCCCAACAGAGACTAGGGAAGCATGGACAGTGTTCTTGCTGTGGAGCCAAGTGTAACCAAGAATTAGCCCAGGACTCCTTCACCAAAGTAAGTCATGTTGGTGTTAGCAGTTTGCAACTATGTGTGGTGGAGGGTGAGACCCAAGTGCAAGATGGACACCTGAGAGGCCTCTCATCTCTGTACATACAGGTGATGCATGTAAACCATTCCTGAAACAGGTTGTGTTCGGCTTTGTGTATTTGTCAGTTTTACATGTGATACTTGCTGAATTATGTAACTGCAGCCAAGGAAGGTGTGATCTGCAGCAAAGGAAGATGTTTAGGTATGGATTTTTTATCTCTTCCTTGCGGCTAGGCCCATGTGATTGCTGTTTTCGGTGAACCCTGTACATGATTAAGTAGATGATGAATAAGTATTGGAATGAGAACTTGCCTTCAAAAGCTGCACTGTCCAGAGTGCAGATCATAGCCTGTTTCATTAGAGTGCATGTCTAAAGGGAAGTCTGCCCTGACTTCTGATCTGGTAGAAGAGGTCTAGAGATTAGATCATGGGACTGGAAGATAAGACTCATGGGGTACTATTCCACTCCTGCCACTGTCCTCCTGTGTGACCTTGGCTGAGTCACTTCATCTGTGCCTCAACTTCTCATCTCTAAACTATGGATAATATTAATCTTGCTAACTCCTTAATGAGAAGTACTAGGAAGTCAGTGGGATCAATATTTGTAAAATGCTTTGAGATCCTTGGTTGCAAGGTGCATAGTATATTGATAGTCTGTCCCACCTGAAACTTTGATGCAAATTTGTTTAATTTCAGAAAATTTATTCAAGTTTGAGCGTATGGTCTTGTTCCTGTAGTTGCCTTTCTTTCTATCAATTACTGAGTGAAATCCATTTATTCCAGTATTGATCTCCTGGGTTAGACTTAGTGGGCCAAATTCTGAATTTCGCCTTATACTAATCTGGGAAAAAACACTCTACAGGGGCTCGTGTTTACAAAAATTAGTTACCTGCTCCCCCTATTGGTAACAGAGCAGAGGATATAATCAAAGTACAGTATTTTCAACTTTATTGAGAAGCCTATGTCTCTGAAGCAACACCGTGGTTCTGTAGCAATTACAAAAGACAAACAAAACAAAAGGAATTGTATCAAAAGTACTTTCAGTGCAGCCTGAGTGGATATGTCTGGTGCTTAGATTTTTCCTTCTATTCTCTTTCAGTAGGATATGAGCTCCCTGCCACTTGGAGGCCCCAAGCTACTCTGTTGGCCTTAACTAGTGTTAATTACTCTGCTATAATAGGAGCATTTCGTTGTGCAGATTGCTGTTTCAAATCTGATTTAGACTGATGAGCCCGGATTCCCAAAGGAACATAGGCATTGCAAGCCCAAGCAACATGGTGCCCAGAAAGTCACAGGAACAACACTGAGATCCACAAAGCTTGACTTAGGCACCGAGGCTCTGTATATGATGAACAGGGAATGATCAGTGCTTTAGAATGTGATCCACAAAAACTGGCAGGACAGTCAGTGAAAAATGCTGACCACTGTGATCAGAGCTTTGTCTAAAACCTGGGAGGAGCCTGACTGGCATATGGACAAACCTGACACCATAGTTAGGATAAGCTATGGATGCTCAGTAAATTTTCCCTGTTATTCTCATAAACCCAAGGCAATTTGGCTGGGCAGCTAATTGCTAAATAAGTATTGCTCTGACATTATAAGGCCGCTATTCAGGGGTAAATACCCCTAGGAATTGGAAGGAACCACAGTGCTGAAGTGACCTTGTTTCTCAGTGCATGGAGTTAGTTATTTCACAGCATATCCAATTATATGGGGACGAGTAGGGTTCCAGGACATGGGGGCGTCTATGTGCCGCAACTTCAGTTCCGAGAACCCTGCCTTCTCCAGGTCCTTCCAGGTCTCTCTGGTCAGGCAGCACCCGTCTCCCAAATATCTCCAGGTTGGGTTGTAGATCTGTTGCCAAAAGTAGCCCCAGCTGGAATGATCTGCAGCCACATGCTCCAAGAAATACAAAGCACCACCCTGGGAAACAAAGCAATCAAAATGCTTCAGGAACAAACAAAGGCTCTTAAAATCACCAACAACATCTCCCTTCCACTTTGGAGACACAACTCTTGGATCAAACTCCCCACATTCTGGCCATGTTTGGTTCAGGCTCACTTCTAACTATTATGTTTTCAGAAACTGCTTCCCATTATCAATTATGCATGGAGGCCAGTCAGCATTCCACCATGTTCTCATTCTGTCTTATTTCACTCCTGTGAGACTTTAAAAATACTATTTGGGGAAGCTACATGACTACAGAAAGGTTTGAGTTCCAGGTGGAAGGGGAAGGATGCTCTTGTGACTAAGAGTCAGGACTCTCAGATTCTGTTCCCAGCTCTGGCACTACTGCCTTAGGTTCCCTTGAGCAAATCACTTAACTTTCCGGTATTTCAGTTTTTCCATCTGTAAAATGGGGTTGATCAGAATACTTACCATACCCTCCAAGTGGTGAGGGTTAATTCACTGATGTTTATATAGCACAGTGAGGCAGGTGCCACTAGACAAGGATCAGGCATTCACTTCATTGGCAGTCTTGTGAGCTGCACAACTGCTTCACTGCATCCACTGCTGGAGAGCAGATCTGGTACAGCATATTCCAGTGATTAAAAACACTGGATAAGTAGCAGAGCTAGTGCTGAGAGCAAACCTATTCAGAACATTCAAGGCTGTTTTTAGTGGAGTCTGGTGTAAGAGTTACGGATTCTGATTTGAATTTTTCACCCCTTAGTGAGGAAGTTGCTGTACATGTTTTTTTCCCCACCTTGTAGTTTAGCTCCACAATGAAAACAATGTTTTGGATTGCCTTAATGAATGTTCTTTATAGTCACAACCAAGGCTAAGGCCTTGTCTGCATGGGAAACTTCTACCAATTACACAGGTTACCCACCCCCTCCCCTTGTGTGGACACTCCTTAGTAGCTTTTTTCAGTTGAGCTTAAACCTGTTCCCAGTGGTGAGCTGGAGCAGGTTCCCACCGGTTCGCTAGAACCGGTTGTTAAATTTAGAAGCCTTTTTAGAACCAGTTGTTCTGTGAGGGACAACCGGTTCTAAAAGGGCTTCTAAATTTAACTGGCCAAAAGTGGTGCCTTAGGCACCGACTCCATGGGTGCTCCAGGGCTGGAGCACCCAAGGGGAAAATTTGGTGGGTGCAGAGCATCCAACGGCAGCTCCCCGCCCCACCCCCGGCCCCAGCTCACCTCCGCTCCGCCTCCTTCCCTGAACACGCCGCCCCGCTCTGCTTCTCTGCCCCCCCCAGGCTTCCCACGAATCAGCTGTTCGCGCGGGAAGCCTGGGAGGGCTGAGAAGCAGGCGGCGGCTTCGCACTCAGGCCCAGGGAGGCGGAAGTGAGCTGGGACGGGGGGGAGGGGGCGCAAGGAGGGCCGCCTGTGCCGCAGCAGATAACCCGGGGGGGGGGGGGGAGCATGCAAGGGAACTGCTCCTCGCCCCAGCTCACCTCCGCCACCCTCAGCTTGAGTGTGAAGCCACCGCCTGCTTCTCAGCCCTCCCTGGCTTCCCGCCGAACAGCTGGTTCACGGGAAGCCGGGGGTGGGTGGGTGGGTGGTGAGGTGAGCTGGGGCCGGGCGCAGGACCGGGAGCTGCCGGTGGGTGCTCTGCACCCACCAAATTTTCCCCATGGGTGCTCCAGTCCTGGAGCACACACGGAGTCGGCGCCTAAGGCTCCACTTTTAATGTGATCAGTGGAGGGAGCAGCCGCTCCCCCTGCTCCTCCCCAGCTACGCTACTCCGCCCCTTGGAGCCAGAGGGACCTGCTGGATGCTTCCTGGGAGCTGCTCCAGGTAAGCATCACTGGGACTCCCCACCTCGCCCCCCGGCAGGTTCCTCTGGCTCTTAGGGGTGGGGTGGGCACCCACTACAGTGGCCCACGAGACCCTCCTGCCCAGTTCGGGGGGGGTGTCAAGGAACGCAGGGGGTTGGATGGGGCAGGAGTCCTGGGGGACGGGGGGGCAACGACCCCCTCGTGGGGTGAGGAGGGAACCAGTTGTTAAGATTTTGGCAGCTCATCACTGCCTGTTCCCAAGTGATATAAGCCAAACCAGTCGTTTTCAACCTTTTTTTAATTTGTGGATCCCTAACACGTTTTGAACCCTAACCCTAACCCTAACCCTTTGGAAATTTTAGACCTAGTCTGTAGACCCCCAGGGGTCTGTGGAATACAGGTAGAAAACCACTGAGTTAAGCCAAAAAAGGCATTGTTACACCAGAATAAGAGTGTCATACTGGTATAATTATATCTATTTAAATTTACATCTTAAGTTATAATGAACAAAGTTGCCCATGTAGATGAGGTCCAAGGGTGAGATACTAAAAGCAATAAGCAATGAGGTTATCGGTTATTAACTTAGTTTGACACAGATATTACAGGACACAGGATAGTGCAGTCCAAGGGATATCTACAAATACGTTAGTAATGCTGCAGGGTCCAGAGCATCTGGCAGGCATGTGCTGACAGGCAATATTGTTAGTAAAGAGAGAGAGTGAGTTTGGGGAGAAGAAAAGCTGGCAGTGAAAGAGGAGGAGTGCTGGGTAATTTAAACTAAACTTCCTGCTCAGCCTGGGATTCCACCCCCTCAAAATGCACAGCCACCCACCCCTCCATTCATTGTTCTACTCTCGACAGATGTGTCCTATGTTATCATGAAGTCCCTACCGCCTGCTTGAGAGTTCCTGAAATCACACACTCATGAGCTCTGTTTGAAGTGAGGGTGTTCCTTCAGAATTCCTCCTGAGTTCCCACCTTTTGCTGAACAAAGGTTCAGAGAACAGGAGTACTGGAAATTCTGGGCTATTGGATGAACAGTGAGCATTGCAGTAAGAACACTTGCGGGTAGGGCAGCAGAACAGCCATCCAGTTTCCCTCTAACAAGTGGATTTCGTGCAACAAGGCTGCCAGCTGTTCTAGACGTCAGGTTGTACTATAGTTCTGCCGCTCCTGCTCTGCATGGTGACAGAATTCAGTTGCCAGAACTACAAAGGCAAGGGCTTATTTTTAATTCCCTCTCACCTTAATTAGGAAAAATAGCAAAGGTTCAGCCAGGTAGAATTCCAGCCTCGGTTGCTGCTCAGCCTGCCAGGTAAGAGTGGGATAACTTTCATCTTAATGAGAAAGTTACTTGCAGTTTCACTTCCACATTCAGACAATGGCAATTGTATGAGCCCACTTCTTAGCTTTGTGTTATGAGATCCATGGACTAGAAAGATGGCACATTTGTGCTTGATTCTTAAGCTTAAAGGGGGGTGGGAAATAAAGGGTAACATTTTCAGAAGCACTGAAATAAGTTAGGTGTCTAAGTCTCATTTTTAAAAGAGGAACATAGGTCCTGAAGTCACTTAGGTGCTTTTGAATATTTGACACCAAGTCCATTAAGGGATATAGTTGGATAGTTTGGGCTTCAGATAAGATGCTTTATGAATAATTTGTAGCATGCTTGCATGTTTTAACTAAGCTAAACCATCTAGTGCTTTTGTGGCTTAAAAGAATTTTAAGCAAACAGCTGTTTGAATGTAACTATCCCCCTGCTATATAGGGTTTGCACTCCAATCATTGCAGCATTGTGATAGTGCATGTGAACCAGAATTTGAACTGCCTGTTAACAGGAGTGGAACAGATGAGCCTGTTTTCATTATCAGCCTCATTGTGATTTTTTTAAAGTTGATTCAGTCATAGCTAAGCCTAAGCAACTCACTAGCTGGTCAGGTCTGTCTCCTTACAGGAACAAGGGAGAGAATGTTGTATTGGCTTTTATTTGGATGTTAGCCACATAAAGTAAGTCAAGGCAGCCCAACGATAGCCATCTTATAAGTGTGTGTGATAAACACTGAAATGGTGTTAAGTGACACAGCAAAGGAAATGAAGGTGCGTGGCTTGGTTCTGTCGGTTTTCCTTTTAGTCCTTTCTGTTCAGAAAACTGCTGGCTTCCAGGCAAACACATACAAATAAATGCTGTAGGTGATGAAGGTTTGGATTGTGGCTAGCCCATCCAGTGGGCATTTGGAGTCTCTGCTCGTAGGGGAACACAGGGACTTCTCCCTCTCTCTATCCCTGCAGGATATATCTCCAAAGGGGGAGGGGAGAAGGTGGGTCATGGCTTTACCCCTGCACACTAGGCCACTCGGGGGAGGGATGCGTCTCTGGGTAGGTGGCTCCCCACACACTCGCACTAGGCATTTCTTTGCATGGCACAGCTTGGCCCATAAACAAAATAGCACCCCCCCAATGGTACTCATACTCACCAGCCTGAGCACTCGCAAGACTTCTCTCAGGACCTGCTCGATGCTGCGCACCGAGCACAGCACCAAGGTGCAAACCACCACATCCATGGAGTCGTCAGCCACTGGGAGCAGGTCCTCACCGGAGGCCACCATGAACCGTTCAAACCGGAGGTGTGGGCTGTCAGAAATGCTCTTGAGGAGGAACCCCTCAAAGTTGGGGTTGGGATCAGTGCATGTCACCCGGCATCCGGGTGGGTAGAACTGGAAGTTGGCGCCTGTGCCTGTGCCTATTTCCAGCAGCCTGAGCTCCCTCGAAGGGCCTGCAAACTCCCCCAGGTTGCTGAACAGGTCCTGTTTCTGTTGGAAGAGTTTGCGGTTGTAGATAGTGGAGCACTTGGCCATGAGATATGGGAAGATCTTCTTACAGAGGGGGTCCCATAAGCCCAGATAAGAGAGCAGGTAGACAGGCAGGGTGAGGAGCTGGATGCATCGCTGGAGGAGAGGGATCAGCACCATCAGTGCAAAGAGGAGAATGCAAGAATCCTCAATCCTGGCTGTAAACACCACCAAAGCCACTGCTGTGTTCCAACTTTACTGAGCATTTCCTTCTCGCTCTCCTGGCCAGCTGACTCATGCTGAACTGGTTATATCTGGTTTCTCCAGCTGGCTGTCCTCCTAATTCTATCTTAAAGAGACAGAGCATTGTTTAGTCATAATTCTTCCTACAAGCACAACTGAAGCGGGATGCAGTGAGGATAGAAATCGATTTGTTTGCTTACATAATGTTGGACTCAATCCTTCAAGGTCCTGGGTGCTGTGGCCTGGTGGAGCAAAGCACTTAAGTATATGCTTAACTTTAAACATAGGAGTCGTTCTACTGAAGCTAATGCTACTACTCACGAGTTGAAAGCTAAGCATGGATTTAAGTGCTTTGCTGAAGTGGGCCAGAGCACTCACCACCTTGCAGGACTGAGCCCATTGTCAGTAAGAAGCAGCAATTCCAGACCTCAGGTACATTCTGGACAAGCCTGTATGGAGGGTGCTGTATTGTCATAACACTGCCTACTTTTAGAGCACCATTATATTGGATACACTGTGGCATGAGAACATAGTGTTCTTTACTTAGTGGGGAAAGAGAGCACATGCAAAGTACTTAAAAAGGAAAAAATAAAAATGGAGAATAACTGTTTTAATTGTAATACTGCCGAAAAGGATCTGGGGGTTATAGTGGATCACAAATTGAATAGGAGCCGACAATGTGATGCAGCTGCAAAAAATGTTAATATTTTGGTGTGTATTCAAAGGAGTGTCATATGTAAGACATGGGAGGTAGTTGTCCTGCTCTACTTGATACTGGTGAGGCCTCAACTGGAGTGGTGTGTCCGTTCTGGGGGCCATGCTTTGGGAAAGATGTGGACAAATTGGAGAGAGTCCAGAGGAGAGCAACAAAAATGATAAAAGGTTAGAAAACCTAACCTGACCTATGAGAAGAGCTTAAAAAAGCTTGGCATATTTAGTTTGGAGAAAAGAAAATTGGGGATCTGATAAATCTACAAATATGTTAAGGGCTTCTATAAAGAACATTGTTCTCTGTGTCCATTGAAGGTCGGACAAGTAATGGGCTTAATCTCCAGCAAGGGTGATGTAGGTTAGAGATTAAGAAAAAGTTTCTAACTCTAAGGGTAGTAAAGCTCTGGAACAGACTTCCAAGAGAGGTTGTGGAATCCCCATCATTGGAAATTTTTAAAATCAAGTTGGACAAACACCTGCCAGGGATGGTCTAGGTTTTCTTGGTCCTGTCACCGCATAGGGGGCTGGACTTTGACTTCTTAATGTCCCTTCGAGCCCTACATTTCTATGATTCTATGCAGAGGTGACACATAACTGTTGATAGGGTGTGTGTGTGTGGGAAACATATTTTGAACCCACTCCCCCCAAATATATATATGAACCTTGACAGAAATTTGCAGGGAGGGGGTGTGACCCCATATGTTCCCCACCCCTCATGCATCGCCTCTGATTCTATGAATACACCAATCCTCCTAGCCCCTCACATATGCTAGGTATCCTCATTTTATAGAGGGAGTGGAAGGCACTATTTGATTAAATGACTGTTCCAAGGGCATATATGAAGTGTTGTTATAGCCATGTCAGTCCCAGGATATTAGCGAGACAAGGTGGGTGAGGTACTGTCTTTTATTGGACCAACATCTGTTGGTGAGAGAGAGAGAGACAAGCTTTCGAGCTACACAGAGCTCTTCAGGTATAGAAAATGTACTCAGAATGTCACAGATAAATACAAGGTGGAATGGATTATTCAGCATAAGTGAATCAATCCATTAATTGATAGCATAAGTCAATCAATTAACACTTATGTCAAGGTACCATTCATGGTGAAGTGGCCTGTTAACACTTCTCCAGTCATGGGGGAGGTGGGACAGGCTGGTGGAGAGGTTTAAGTGGGTTACAGATCGTTGTAATGAGCCATAAATCCAGTGTCTCTGTTCAGTCCATGCTTCTTAGTATCTAGCAAAGTTATGAATTTAAGCTCTGTTGCGTGTCTGAG